TAAGGTTAAAATTCACTCATAAGGGGGTGAATAGAGTCTTATTTTATTTTTTTGTTTTTGAATTTGAATTTTCTTCAGTGTTTGCTATATTATCTATTGGCAATTGTTGAATGTATTAATTAACGTCAAATACACGGATATGGTTATATATTTATGGTTTTTGTGACGATAATACTCAAGTTGCGAAAAGGTATCGACAAATTTCAAAACTTCTTTGGAGTCGTTACTTACATGAGAACACGTGCATCATGAAAGCATCATGAAAGGCAGCATGTCGAACAAAATATTAGAATTGGGTCCCTCTGGCTTTTTTGGGCCTTTTTACGACTCCACTTGTCCTTAAAACCAAGAATATTTGAAGGGGTTAAACCTCCTTTACCCAACTATAGGGAAGCCTATGCTCATAGATAGCCGGTATGAATCATTCATTCGGGAATGTACTAGAACCTTTTATAGGAGAATATTCGAGTAAAATGGTGAGAGCACTACAATGTCAAATGGAAAGTAAAAGAATTTGGTGGATGTTTCGGGACTCTTCCGCCAATAGAAAGTCGGTTAGTCGAAGTCGAGTCATAGCAATGAGAACATCGATAAAGTAGTAAATGTGTTAAATACATTAGAAATATAAATAATGCTTAAGTAATAAATTAATTAATTAGAACTTAGAGTTATTGCACAACGAAGATATGTAATCCATAGCTCAAGTTCTACATCAAAATTTCGTCAAATTCTGACCGAAGGGTGTTTTACATTTAAAACGTGCCCCCTCTCCTTTTTAAGGGAATGAAGCCTATTGATGAATAAAAATCGAAGGTTAAAGGAGGGTTGAAATATTAAAAAGAAACTAACTCAGAAACAAAAAACTCGAAAACTTGAAATATCTATCTATCTATCTAATTTAAAATAGGGAGTAAAGGGGGGGGGGTCTGTTAAACTGTGAAAAGTATAATATAAAATTGCAAGCATTATATATATCTTTATTCTAGTTTATTTTAAGTTTTTAAGACAATCATTATTTTTTTATTTTTTTCATTGTTTCTATAAATTATATTAATAAAATTTACACATATACTTATTATTGATGTGCATTTTGTTAACCGTTTGAAATCAAAATTCAAAATATGCCATAATTCAAAAACGCTTTAAATATTTTTTTCAAATTTGATGATTAATATGCTCTTTACGGAAGTAATATTTGATATAAACTAAATTTTGAAAAATTTAAGCAGTGGCGCTCTATCAGGGTTAGTGGCAACTTTTTCCCCCTATTTTTTAAGCCACTCTGGAAAAAAACATTTTTTGATTTTTTTTAAACACTCTGTTTATTTCTAGTTAAAAAAGTAATAACGTTTCATGGAGCTAAAATGAAGGGTATTGTAAAAATTTGCTTCTAAACGAAAGTCCGCATGTACTCAGATAATTTGTAACGTCTCAACGTGTCAAATTTTTAATAGTACACTTATTCGACAAATCTTGGTAGATTAATTTTGAAAAAAATATTTAAATTCCTTTCTGATTTATAGCAGTTTTTAATTTTGATTTAAAACTTTTAACACCCTGTATTTCGGTAACTAAGTCCTTTAAGGGTTCTTAAATCAAAATTTATCAGTTAATGATAGCTCTCGGTGGTATAGCGTTTTCAATCGAATATGGGAAGGGAGTCGAGTGGCACATTATTTTAAAGGTAGAATTCAGCAATATGACTTTTCATTGCGTTACTTTTGATTTTAGCGCCCTCTAGTGGTATAAACGCTGTATTTATTTTCTCCCTGGGAGAATATATTTTTTTATATTCATTTTTAGGAATTCTCTAATACAAAATCATATACAAAAATTTTGTTATTTTGAATACATGCATTAATGGAAAACTAATTCAACCATTTTTTTTTATTTTCTATCGTCACATTAAAATTTTGTGATAGAGCTCAACAATATAATTCTACATATTCTGCAATATTTCTTTTGTGTAAATATAAACTTTGTATTTAATAGTTTTTTAAATTTATAATTTGAATTTTATTTAGAAAAGAGTATATTTCACAATTGGGGGGCTAATGAGACTCATAAAATCAGTGAATTTTCGCAAGGTTTATAGACCATCAGATAGTGACTGATTTAGGTGCCCCATTTTCACATACAAGCCTCGAAGAGGGTTGAAAAGTACATTGATTTTGAGTAGAATGAAAGGAAATTTACGAGTGGTCCCTGGGGATAACATATGGATAATTCAATTTTCCTTAACAGAAATAAAAGGTGTTTTTTGCTCATGTTTCCACGCAAGCCGTTTTTACTATATGATTATTTATAGAACTAGGCTTCGGAAAACCAAAGGCTTTAATGTTGCAAGTGGCTAAAGGGTTAAATAAGGGCGTAATCTTGTAAAGAAAAATCGATATTTTAACTGATTTTTCCACACAAGCCCGTCGAAAGTATGAATACATGCATGGTAACTAGCCCGAAAAACATATTGGCTTGAGTGACGCGAGTGGATAAATCCATTTTGAGGTTGGAAAATTTAACAGAATTTTTTTTCGATTTTTCAGTTATTTTCCCATCAACGAAATTTTTTGCAATAAAAACTTATGAATTTAAGAGCCCAGAAAAAAATAATGGATTGAGTGCAGAGCGTGGTCTTCATATTTTCAGAACATAGGAAAGTTGCTGGAAAAATGTATGCAAATTGCCACAATTTACCCACACAAGCCGTTTGTCATATGCTTAGAAAAAGTAATTCAAAAGGCTTGAGTATCGGACATGGAGCATATTATTTAGGTATCTAAAAAAGAACTGACAAAAAAATTTACAAATAAATATTTATGCAGGGTTATTATTATTTATTGCTCGGTGATTATTCGTATAGTAAATTTTAATATGAATTTAGTGTTGAATTAACAATACGTTTATTTTATAGAAAAATTTATATATTCTTTCAAAGGGCTATTAAATATAAACTTTAAAATACCTGTTAAGGGTCGATCTTTTAACCTCTGAGTAAAGTTACAAGTAGGTTTACTTGACATAAACAATATTCTTGTAGTTACTTACAACTTTACTCAGAGGTGAAAAGACTTGGCCTTATTAAGAGATTCGTTACAAAGACATTTTGATCCATTTTTGAATTTTTATAAAATTGATGTATGTATAAAATAAAAATGCAGCTACTAAACATGAAAAAGTAGATATCCTAGAATTTAATGATGACACTCAAGTATTCTATGGAATAGACACTTCGTGAAACCATTTTAAATTGCATTTATGTGAGATATTAAAGCAATCAAGAATGTCATGTCCGACACTCAAGCCATTTGTTATAGTCTTGGAATCACTTTTTCCAAGCATATGTTAAATAAATTATGTATAAATAATATGAAGACCATGTCCAACACTCAAGCCTTTTTATATATAGTCTTAGAATCACATTTTCTAAGCATATACCAAAAGGTTTGTGTGGGAAAATGGTGGAAATTTATTAACTTTTTTTTGTCAGTTTTTTGTTAAATAAATTATATATAATTAATATGATGACCATGTCCGACACTCAAGCCTTTTGTTATATAGTCTTAGAATCACTTTTTCTAAGCATATATCAAACGGCTAGCGTGGGAAAATTTTCCATACAATTTTCCTGCAACTTTTCGATGCAAGCCTTCGTTTCGTCCACATCCAATACTTATTATTCCAATAATATTCCATATACAATATACAATAATATATACAATAATACAATAATATACAATATATACAATAATAATAATATTCCAATTTTATTATTGCGTCTAACAATTAATAAAATTCTATGGTTAAAAAGGATTGCATGAAAAAATAACTCAAAAATAGAAAAAAAAATTGGGGTAATTTTTCCGACTCCAAAATGCACTTATCCATTCGCGCCATTCAAGCCAATATGTTTTCGGGCTAGTGACGATGTATGTATTCATACTTTCGACGGGCTTGTGTGGAAAAATCAGTTAAAATATCAATTTTTCTTTACAAGATTACGCCCTTGTTTCAACCCTTTAGCCACTTGCAACATTAAAGCCTTTGATTTTCCAAAGCCTAGTTCTATTAATTAATTATATAGTGAAAACGGCTTGCGTGGAAAAATGAGCAAAAAACACCTTTTATTTCTGTTAAGGAAAATCGAATTTTCCATATGTTGTCCCCAGGGGCCATTCGTAAATTTGCTTCCATTCTATTCAAAATCGATGTACTTTTCAACCCTCTTCGAGGCTTGTATGCGAAAATGGGGCACCTAAATCAGTCACTATCTGACGATCTATTAGTTTTTATTTATGGGCATATAGCTACCAAAAAAATATTTTTTTTGAAAAAGCGTATTTTCTCTAAACGATATGGAACCCGTATTTTTATTCATTTTTAATACGGAGTTAGGGGGTGGGTTAGTTCCGTGGTTAGAGTCATGACTTTTTGAGATCCAAGGTTCTCAGGTTCGAATCCCCCCCAGTGGTACGATTTTTATTTAATATAATGAATTAAATATTAATTCTAATGCATAGGTACGATTCCTCACTCGATCATTCACTGTTGGGTTTTAAATATTAACAACACTCTCACTAATTCACCCCCTTACGAGTGAATTTTAACCCCAAAAGCTAAGCTTGTCCGGGGAAAGGGACGACTATTATTATTATTATTTGCCGTGGCGCTCCGGGGCGACTTAAAGATGATTGATGGTGCCATTTGACTTACAGGTTTACAGGTGAGGAAAACCCCACCTACCATCATCGAAATAAAAGTGCTGTTATTAAATGGCGCTGGGAAACAGTAACAAAGCCTAAACAGAACACGCGGCTAATAAACATAGCAGTTAGATGCCGATTACACAAAAAAAATACGGAGTCTAATTTAGACAGTTACTATTTAAATAATTGAAATATTGAGATACAATTTCCCCTGTAGGTATCTTTTTTATTTAATTTAACAAAGTATTACATGTGTAAAAACATAATAAAAATAAACCACACACATTGATTAGATAAACTGTTCCTCTCCAGCCAATTTAACTTATTTCGTTGTTTTTGTTCTTTAGAAACGAATAACTTCCTTGAAGGGCGCCAAATGGTAATCGAGACCAAACCTCGAAACGGCCCTGAATACATCCCTTTCAACCAGTTAGGGTGTATCCCCACCACTGGCTGGACGAGTATGTGTGGGACAGACCAGTTTACAGTTCCGTTGCTTATTCGAACTCAGCCAGAAAGAAAAACAGTAAGCGTTCAGCTTCGGTCGAGGAAGGTTCGATTTGGTAAAGGCTCTTGTACTGTTCGCGGTGGGTAGTGTTTGTTATTATTTAACTTTTTTGTTCAAAATAAACTTTTTTTTGGATATACGGACTCAAAATGTGGGATCCTATTAATGGTGATGGTTGCCGGGCATGCCAGTTCAATACGTAAGTAATTTAAATATTCAATGTTTACAAGATCATAAACCGCTTATGTCCTCCATGTCTTATGTTTTTGATAATGTAGGTTACTAAATTGGCATTAATGTTGATTTAAACCTTAATTTAATTACACGTAACACATTTATTTTGTATTTACTGGAAACGTGTTAAAAAACTTGTTTTTATAAATTTAAAAATACCGGTTCACAGTTGAGTTGTAGCAAAACATGTATTTCTGAGAATTCCAATAATCCAATATTGCCTGCTCATATTTTTAAAAAGTTCATGTAAGAATTTTTCTCTCAAGTTCAGTAGTTTACATTTAAAATTTACATAATATATCCATCGTTTGGTTGCAAATATGCCAGGAAATAAGTGAGTTTGTTTTTAACATCAAATTTTATCAACAAGATTACCACTTTGTTATTCTTATATTTTATATTAATCTCTATTTAAATTTGCGGAAGTTAATGATAAATTATAATAATTAGTTTAATTCAGTTTAAAGGAAAATATACTTTTTGTATATGCCTACCTGGAGATATCAATATAAAGTGGTCAGCTGTGTAAAGTACATATTATAGTTCTTAATGTAAACAGAAGATAAAATATTTGAAAATCAGCTGTATTATTAATAGAATAACGCACTTTTTTAAATAAAATGATAGGTACAAACTAAATAATTTTGAAGTACTTCCAAACAAGTTCAAAGTATTGAGGATGATATAAAGTAATTTTACAAGGACATCCCCTTTACAGTAAAACATTTTGGTTTTTAAAAAAATAACAATTACATTGAGTAAAATATGACAAAACACATCTTGAATAATAAATCTACAATATATACGTGTTTTGAATAATGTGTTGTTAACACCCAAGTTCTCTCATCAATATTTGAATATAAATTTTCCTATTTAGTGAAATTGCCTACTTAGATATGTGGATCTTATAAAAGATCAATAAAAAAACCATTCATAATAGATGTGAATGATCTCTACCTGTTTTTTAATTAAATAAACAGGTACAATCTCTTTTAGAAGCAAGTTTTCGCTCCTTTTTTCAATTTGAATTGGCGCGAAATGTTGCGATGTAGTTTTATTGGGTTAGGTTACGGCCCATCCTTAATTTTAGACTTTCTATGTATGTAGTGTTTATTTAAATTAATTAAGTGTTTTTCCAATAGTAGTACCATAAATTATTCTTAATTGTTTCCTGATAATGGAATGGGGTAGGTATCTATAGGATATTCATAATTATAATTAATAGATTATTTATTTTTGACTTGCTCTAGATTATTTAAACCTCTCGCTAAATTATAGCTTGTCTTTTCCACCCCCTTACGAATTTCCCCCCTTTTCTTTGTAGGTATTATATTAATTAAACGCCAATAAGGCAGAAGAAGTATCTAATACAATGCAAGCAAACGTTATTTCATTAAAATTATTAAATTTTTATATTGTTTTCGCACTTTAGTTCACTGATCTTCTTATATTGTCAGTGATTTTAGATTTAATAGATAGGTAAAAAATATTTAAGGTATTAAGCCATTTGAAATATTACTCTATCCTCTTTCTGCTTGATATATTATATGTTTAATTAGGTACTTGGTAATTAGATTAATTAACATCTACGAAAAATTATGAATGCCACTTACCATAGGCAGGCACTCGTTTCAAATCTTTCCATTGAGGAACATTTGTTCTTGATAAATAAATATATATAAATAAAACATATCTACTTATTATTAATTCTTATTGGTAATCATGTAAGTAATTTATCAAGTAGTTCCAAGTTTTCAATAAAAATCGTTTTCAGAAAAGTCTGAAGGATATAATAATTGAAATTGATCACAAACAGACACACCCTCAGACCTTAGAACCGCCCGTTGATCGTCAGGTGCAAGGAATCATGTCAATTCTATTATGAAAATCTAAATCCGTGCCTTTTATTCTGTAACACCTACACCGATAACAATGAGTTGCATCGTTTTTATACCAAAATCCCTTTTTATATACCTAATAGCGGCTTCGAAAACTATTGTACTTAGTACCTACTATTATAAAAATAAATAGGTGTTTTATTAAATGTTAATGCATTTTTTAAATAAAATCGAAACAATAATAGATATAGGCATAATACCTGGGTGGGTAGGTAGGTAACTTACTCTCTCTAAATTCACCCCTTACGAGTGAAGCTCTGAAAGCGGAGCTTGTGTCTGGGAAGGACGACTATTTTAATTATTAATTACATAGTAAAAAATACTTATTATTATCTTCATTTCTATTTGCAGCATTTAAAATTAACGTTCTAATAATTCGATTAACTTCACTTCAACGCTACCTCGAGGTACATTTACGTGGCGCAGCTCGATTGATATTACAGATATCTTCCTCGGAATGTCGCAGCTTCGAAACTTTAAGACAGATGTCGTATGCGGTTAAGTTAATTTACTATCCTACTTTACATTATTGTGTAAACAAACAACTTCCTGTTTACATATAGGGTGAATCGCTAAATGATGATTTTCTTTTGTGAGAAATACTAAAACATTAACTTTTTTATCAAGAATCATTGTTACATTTAAATGTTTAAAATACATGTATTAGCAGGTTCATTGACGTTGCTTTAAAAATTGTTATAAATTATAAGCTTATTTAAAAAATTGTGAAAATGAATCATTTAGTTTCCAAGTATAACATTTTATTTCTCATACAACAATAAAACATTAGAATCCATAACTCCCCATCGTGCCCTGGGGCTAGCCTATTAAGTAATTATTATATACAGGGTGTTTCAGAATAAACTACCGTAAACTGGGGACTTGTAAAACTTAAAAAAATTTCTGTTAACGTCCCGGTTTTCATTCTACAGGGTGATAAAGTGAATTTAATAAATACATAATGTTCTAAATATCTTCCCTTACGTCATTTAGTCGTCATTATTAGTTAACATACCCTACCCAGACAGCACACCAAATCCTTTGGATATCTACTGGACATCCCAATATCCACTGAATGTCCAGTCCATGGTGGATATCTATGTTATATCCATGAGATGTAATTTATAGACATGCAAATTTCCATAAATAATAGTAATTATATAGCAAATTATTAAAAAATTACGCCATTGTGCTCGCCATTGTGGCTAATAGTACTGTTTAGATATTTAAAATTAATTTTCAATATCCCATGGACATCCACTAAATATACCACAGTCTAGGCGCGAACGCAAACCATGGTGGATATCCACTAGATGTAATTTTTGATTTTGCCCACTAAGAAGAAAGTCATTCTTGGACCGGTTTCGTCCTTATTAGGACTAGAATTATTTCCTTTTTTAAGAATAGCCCGCCTGGCTTTTATTCCACCTAGTCTCTGAACTAGGTACTACAGCGACCTTTGATTTTGCTTACTAAATATAGATGGCGATACCACTTTCGCTCGTTGAATATCTACTCATGCTCAACCCGTCGTAATTAAGTTCGATTGAAATTGGTATTGCAATCAGACTCCATTAGAGACTGGAGTCGAGAATTTCTATTTATTGCTGAAGAGTTCTAATAAGGATGACTTTCTCCTTAGTGGGCAAAATCAAAGGCAGAGTGTTGAAAATATTTTCTATCTCTGCTATTTTCTTTCGACGTTATTCAATAATCATTGGTTCATATCCATATTAGATCCACTGGATATATTGGATATCCACAAAATATATTCTGTGGATATCTCTGAGATTTCTTGAATGGTCTAGGAGATACCCTTTAGATATTTTGCTGGATATCCATAGGATATCTTCTATATTCTGGATATAGACAGCAATTTGGATATCCATATTAGATCCACGGGATATTTCTGATATCCTGTGAATATATTGGATATCCACAAAAGATATTCTGTGGATATCTCTGGGATTTGGTGTGTTGTCTGGGTATTTCGATAAAATACGATAACCCATTGGTGTAGAGGTAAGGACTAAAAAACAATTTTAGTCCAAACTTTTTGAAATCCCTATATTTCATAGAAGTTGAAATTAAGAGCAAACCGAACCTTGAAAATTTATAATTCTTTCTTAGCCTTTATTTTTAATCCGATTTTTGTGAAATTTTCAGGAAATACCCAAAATAACAAAACTTAGGGTGGAGAAACCTTGAAATTTTTGTAAACCTTCGAAAAGCATTTATTTTGAAAAGGAATTTCAAAAAAATGTTTACGCGCCATTCTGTATTAAATCTATGATAATTTGCTGTTTTTGTTTTAATAAGTATCTAGTAAGTAGTTTTTAAATGGGAGGATTTCCCACTTTTTTTTTAAGCTATTGCATAGCTTTTATCGCGGGTTTTGAGCGCGGCGATCGAATCAAGAAATTCCGTAACGAAAATAACCCTCCACTCCGACCGGCACAGCGGTTCGGCGTTGAAAGCCGTGGAAGGTTTTATCCGACCCTATTCGTATTAGTATGAAGCGGAATTAAATATACGTTTGCGGACAGGAACGTTTATGCAATACAAGAACTAAAAGAGCTTTCGCTGGCTTCTAATAAATTGGTATCACAAATGTTCCCGGCTAGCGTAAATATTAGATATTAATTTATTTTGCAAGAATTATAAAATATAAATTTTTATTTTATCAGTGTTAACTATTTCATTATTAAGCTATTGCATAGATTTTACCGCGCGCTTTGAGCACGGCAACCGAATCAAGAAATTCCGTAACGAAAATAAACCTAACACCCTCGAAAAATCAAAAAGTCGAAAAATCGAAAAAATCGAAAAAAATTCCGTAACGAAAATAAACCTAACACTCCCCACTCCGACCGGCACAGCGGTGCGGCGTTGAAAGCCGTGCATCGTCTAACGTCGTTTCAGTTTGGCAAACTTCGGCACGGTGTTTGTGTGCGTGCGACTAGACGTATGCGTGTAGACTAGCTGCTAACTGCTCATAATTGATTCTATCTCTTTTAGACACAATTTCGGAAAAATTGAATTTGAAAAGGAATAATGATCCACAAGAATCCACAACAAAATATGAGACCACCATTGACGCGGTATTTTCCAGATATTTAGAGGATATCAAGTCTCAAACTTATGTTTATTATTTCAGTTACCATAAACCTATAGTTTCAATGATGAAAATTCCTGAATAACCTACAAGTATTGTAAGATAATAAAAATATTTTAAACATTAAACAATATTAACTTCTCATTTATTCAATAAAAGAAAAAAATTTGTTTTCTTATCGGTCACCACGCTCAAAAAGTGTAACTTGAATTAATATCAAAGAAAAAACTTGAATTAATATCAAAGAATAATACTGCATAAATAAAATAAATAATTATAATTGCAATAGCTTTACCGCGGCAGTCCCCGAGTTCCACACGTATTTTTCTTAAACGTCTCTGTGGAGTGCTGCCATGTTGCACAAATTTAAAGCTCTCAATATCCGGTTTACTCTTAATTATTATTCTTCACGCAATTTGTTACAAAAATTGGTTAATATTTCTGTAGAACATTCCATTTTCGAGATTTTTCAGTTTTAGTCCTACTCAAACATGAAATCTGCGTACATTAAGAAATTTAAAAATTGCATATTTTTATTAAGGGCCGATTTCATAATCAATATTAAAAGGTTCATTAACTAAAACATAAAATCTTGGCCCCATTAGATAATAGACCTTTTAATACCTATTCATTATGAAATCGGCTCTTGATAAAATTGTAAATAGATTTCATGTTTGAGAAGGAGAAACTGAAAAATCTCGGAAATGGAATGTTCTGCAGAGATCAACCAAGAATCCCTTTTTTGTGACAACTTTATCAAGGAATAATTATTATTCTTTACTTTTATGAAATATATGGTGTTCAAAAGGTTTGGAAGAAAATTGTTTTTGTTTTTTAGATGCAAATATTTTGGTAAATGTATATTTTTTATGATGTCAACATTTTTTGAAATAAGATATCAACATTTTTTTTTAATGGCACCATCTTTTTTTGATAGCACTTAAAAAGCACATTTTTGCGTATAGACACTACATTTAGTTGTCTGTTGCCTACCAATATTATCAAAATAAACTTAGAATAATTAATAAATACATTTAAAAACAACAAAATTATGAGAATTGCAAGATTTTCACCTCTTGACAATATGCAAAATGTTATTAAGTGTCCATTACAATTTTGAAAACTTCTATCTCAAAAATATTGTGCTGCAACATATACACAACAACATAGTCAACATATACCCAAAATTTGATGTATATACCGGGTGTTCAAATTAAAGTGTTACAGATAAATACCGCCGAAAATATGCATTTTAGAAAAAAAAGTTTTAGACAAAAGTTTTATAGTTTTTTGGAGGAAACATTTTGGCTAAATCCATTTTTTTATAGCTGACCATTATATGGCCATATCGAGATGGACTTTGTTTTTTTAAATGGGAATCCTATATTTTTTTTACATATTTTTAAAGTACATAAAAAAATAAGAAACTTTTGATGAAAATATTTTTTTTATCAGACTTTTACTTTTTGAGTAACAGCTACTTGAAAATTTTGCTGGACGAAAAAAAAGTTGGCCATAATATGGTTAGCTATAAATAAATATTTTAGTCAAAATTTTTCCCCAAAAAACTATAAAACTTTCGTCTGAAACGTTTTTTTTATAAAATGTGTTATTTAGCTGTAACACTTTAATTTGAACACCCGGTAGAATGGTGTATATGCAAAAATTACACTCTTTAATGTTACTATCAAAAAATGGTAGGCAGGTATTATATGTACGCCCAAAAATACTTTTGTAGAACTAATTCTTATGCCCTTACTTAATTTTAAATGTCTTAAATTTTTTGATGTTAAAATCATGTTAGTACATTCTTGATCTTCTTTTCCAGTTCCAGTAAAATGGTTTGTGAACAAATAGACGGTCCTTATTTGGACAAGGAAAATCTACAACCCTTCAACATCATGAAAAGTGACGAACTTTCACTGTATGATAATGGTACAATCGAGCCTTACCACGAGTCGTCCCAAGCTCATTGTCGTCGACCTCTGGAAGAACATGATTCAAATTCCCAAGATTCAGGTTATGGTGCGAGCTACCATGGCGAAAAATTCCTTTCTCATACATCTCCAACAAAAACCACCACTGTATCCTTCAGTTCAATGAGTTCAATGGAAGATGAGTTTTTTGATTTTTCTGATGTCGAGCCTCTGGATAAGCCTAGATTACCTCACGATTTCAATAAACTAATTTCGAATCCTTTGATTCACTTGAACAAATCACAGGAAGGCTCAGCTTCTAAAGATGTAATTATGAGGCCAGTTTTTCGGAGGACTGTCTCTTTGCAAAATCACTCTGATAACACACCAAACAGCAGTAGGGTCAGAACTAGTTTATTCAAAGGTGATCTTGAGAATAAATCATTCAAAAGGCCTGAACCTCCAAATGATGTTGACATGGTTGGTACCAAGCGATCGAAATTGTTTGATGATGAAGCATCAGTTCCTGTAGTAAGACCCCTTTTTCAACGTGCTATCTCAGCTACTGAAGAAAGTATTATGTGCGCTGTCCAGCGGTCGTCGACAGAGCCCGACCTTATTGGGGATTTCACTAAAAATTTCGGCCTACCTTTAACTACAAGTCGCCATCAAGATTTAAAGGCTATAACTCCGAACACTCTGGCCAATCTTATGAAAGGAGGATTTACTGGTGCAATTGCTTCATTTAAGGTCATTGATTGCCGGTATCCCTACGAATTTGATGGTGGACACATTCAAGGCGCTTTGAATATTTATACTAAAGAACAATGTATGGAACTACTCAGGCAAGAAACATCGACTGATTTCCAAGATAGGCACATTCTGGTCTTCCATTGTGAATTTTCCAGCGAACGAGGCCCTAATTTGTAAGTATTTTAACTACATTTTCAGATATATTACGGTCATCGTCATGCGCAGTAAATAAAAACCTATCAATAAAGCCCAAAGTCGAATGGTTTTTATTTACTGCGCATGACGATGACCGTAATATTACGGTTTTGTGAGATGTTGGGACAAATCTAATATCTTGTAGAGCATTAAAAATTTAAGTGAGCAGATGCAATGAGTGTAGAATAGATTAAATAACAGCTAATTTTCCTTCCAGATATCGGTACTTACGGAAAGAGGACCGCAACAAGAACGAAAGTATCTACCCCTCCCTGAACTACCCTGAGATCTACCTCCTTGAAGGTGGTTATAAAAAATTCTTCGAACATTACTCGGAAATGTGCACTCCGATAGCTTACAAAGAAATGCTGCACCCCGATCACGAAGAAGAACTGAGACATTTCAGACAGAAATCGAAAACTTGGAACTGTGATTCTCGCCATCGCCCTGGAAAAAGCTTTAAGAGGCTAGGAATGTAAATTAATTTAATTTAAAGCCATGCGTTTATAGTACAAATGTTTAATACAATGTGGGGATTAAAAATTAGACAACTTTCAGGAGCTAAAGATCATTAAAGCATAAAATTTCGCATTACTGTAATGTAATAGACAGGACGTGAACAAAACTAAAGATTAAACGTCGGAAAACAGTTAAAGGATATTTTAGACTCTTTAAACTAATGAGTAATTAGTCCCCTTAAAACTAAATTTGTGCAATAATGCCATTTTCATCGGTGATATTTGTGTCACACATTATACACAATGTCTAAAAAAAATATTTTGAAATCGGCACAGTATGCAAAATTATTCAGTATTTATTTTATATGATCAGTATTGTGCAATATTATTTGTTTTGTAGGGGGAGTTTTGCCTTATAACTGAAAAACTAATCTTTAGTCACTAAACAGTCATATCTACAGACTTCTTTACATTAACTGGACACTTTTATACCTATATTGGATTTAATTTAAATATACAGTCTTCAATAATATCCATATCCCACGTGACTAAATTGATTTCATCAATAGGATAAAAGTAACATTAATATCTTCAGTAGTAACCCTAAAACAATGTTACTGACCATTTTCATAGAACTGATACTTAGTTTATAATAATAACTAAAATTAAAATTTTCATTACATTTTTTTTTACCAGATACGGGTATTGTTGAAGACTCGTTATATCAACAAGATTAGTTAAAATTTTTGAAAGTCAACATGTATTTTATCAAACTGACAACTTTTTGAATTTCAGGAAAATTCAGAGATTACCCAAATAGATAAATATACAGGATATCCTAAAAATTAATGCCTTTCTTTCACATTTAGAGTAAATAGCTCTTAATATATTATTTCAAATAAATCGACAATATTTCTTTTCAGAATCTCCACTTTATTGAGGGAAAGTTGTGCTAAATTTAATTCCCATGTTGTACTTTTAATGAATTGATGCACCACATTGGCGCCTGAATAATGTGAGACATAGTCTTTTACTATGTAAATATAGTGTACAGAATTGTTAGTTTGTGAAAATGATCTTCATCAAAACGATCTCAATAGAGTGCCAACTTAGAGATGCATAGGAACATTTGATTTATTTTATTTATGCGACGTTATCACTTAGGTTAAGTGCCATTTTATTTTATAACTACAACTTCTTTTTAATAATATAGAGGATCGAATATTTTTTTTTAAAGTTGTAGAGTTTTATGATCTTTATTTTATAAGTATTAAAATACTAGGATTGAATATTTTCTGTTTTTTTAAATGCATCTCGAAAGTTTAGTTTTAATGAAATGAACTGAAAACAATTTTTAGTAATATTGCCAAAATGCTTTTTTATGTAACCATTCTTATTCATGTAGGTATGAGAATTTGAATTTTTGAAATTTGTTCTTTTGCTGATTGTAAAAAATCCGTAAGAGAAATTTAGGATCAATTTATATAATTTTTTTTTTCAAAATGTACTCTTTATTTCTTGTTTCTGGCATTTTATTTCCAGCCTGAGTTTGGCAATATGAAGTCATTAACACATTGTTAAACAAAAATTCAAATTCGAAAATATCCCTAGGAAAGTTAAACAATATAAAAAAAATTTTATGATTAATTTGTTTTGTATGATATACATAGGTAATATATTAAATCAACCAATATTCCCATGGAATAAAGTTTTTTTTTAACTTTTTGTGGGATATTCCATCAGGAACTTTATCCTAGTCTACCTACTAATAAATAGTAACAAATTGAATATAAGACATATATATTTGTTTATTAAAAAATGAAAAGGATGTAGTTTGTGACATTTGAATGTTCTTTTAAAAAATCATTTGCTTTACTACTAAGAATTAAATCATTTGACATCTTTTTTTATAAAATACTTTCACTAAATTTGAATGCCAAAATAGTAGCCACATTGAATTCTAATTACAGAGCAGGAATAACAGAACGTATATACAGATACTAAACAAAATACACAATAATTATTATCATAATCATGTTCAAGTCCGAACTAAAAAAAATTACCTAATATTTTATAATAGAATGTCAGATGATTGTATTCTTAGCATTTGCTGAATATTTGTTTTTATTAATGTATGATTAAGATTATTTTCACTAGAAAATTGCTTTGCTCTTACATGCAATGGGAGAGCGCTTACATGCAATGTATAGTCAACCAAAGTATAAAGATTTTCCTGAATGACTTCTTGACTGAAAACCAGTCTCTATTAAAAATGTGCAATTTTATAAGCAATAAAAATGTGATGGTTGTCTGCACAAGGCCTAAGTCTTCTTGTGCAAATATATTTATTTGATGTTTTGGATACCAATTTTAAGGATAATTTCCAATTGAATTGTATTCTATGCGTTTTATTTAATTTCAAGTGTGTTTTACGATTAATTGTATATTTGTGATGTCTTTTTGACAGACTGAAAATTTTCAATACAAATTTAAAATCAATAATTGTAATGTGTAAATATATATTTTTAATCAAATTGTTGTCTTTTTTAACCTTATTATTCAGTGGCGGCTCGTGGGCACTAGCGGCAGTGGGGCACACACTGGAAAGGAATCCCGGGATTCGTTTTTCCCTTAGGAAAACAAGTTCCCCGCTTAATGAAAATTAAATATATTTCAGAACAATCAGTTGGGGCAATAACAATTTCTGAATGTGATTACAGGGAGCTAAATGTGACCACTCAAAATGCATTTAACTATGTATGTGGCTATTTAATCAAAAAATCATTACATATGCACACTTGCGAAATTTGCGTAAATTTCTCAGAAGAATTCAATTTACTTAACAATTCTAACTTGTTAACGCATTTTAAAGCATACGACTGAAAAAAAGGTGATTTTTTATGTCCAGTGTTTTATTTATCGTTTAGCATAAGTTTTCCTCATCAAAAAGTTAAAAATATTATAAATTTAGAGGTATTTTACAACCGACATTATGAATTAGATCATAAACCTTCGTAATTTTTTTTTAAGCTGCATATAAATATACTCGAAATGTCAGTACCGTGGCATGTCCGATTCTCATTTTTAAAATTAAATATATAAATTTCTATCAAAATTCATTTTTTAATATAAAATTTACCTCTTATAACTACAATCTAATGCATACTGCATTGAATTTTATTGCAATTTTATACCAATCTTTGGATTGGTAAAAAAAAATAATTATTTATATGTCAGTACCGTGGCATTAAAATTTTTAAATTTTGTCACAGTTTTCGTTGTGTCGTAGCTGTAGTAGAACCACTTTACAGGCTTATTTCTATGCATAAATAGAAAACAAATATATCTATATATAATTTGGGCCGTAAGAATGCCTTCCATGCCCGTCTAGCCAAATATTCACCGCGTTCGGCTCGTAAGGATGCCTCCCATGTCAGGAACATCAAATATGGACCATATGCGGTTTCTACTTCTAAATTACGTCAAATGGCACGGTCCTCCCGGCTCAGAAGAAACGCCGACAACGGCAATCCGAGTACTCGGCTTCCCGTAGAACAGAAGTAAAAGTTTGAAATGCTTTTGCCAGTTCTCCCACTTTATACACATAAATTGACAGGTTGCCAGCGGATCTCACCGAAGTGGACGCGATACATTGGCGTACAAAATTATTTTATAGATGTTAATAACAATTTCGAGTAAATAGTTTAATAAATTGTGAATAGCTGTTGAAATTTTGTAAAATTATAATTTGAATATTATAATACATGTTTAATAATTATTTATAATCCATAAATACATGCGATTGTCCGGTTCCGCCGATAACAATTTAAAATTACTTATTCTATGAAACGACACTGGCAGGTAAACATTACTGTGAAATTCTCGGAGCCACCCGACGTGGTTTGACGTTTACCCCCTCTCTACCTACCAAAAGACTTTTCAACTTTTACTTTCTCTATACATGCCAGTGTCAGGCCGAGCGAATGCCGACTATTTGTGGTTTACTGGGTTCCTACCCATTTATGTATGTGATCAAAAAACCGCCATTAATTAATTAATTAATTTTTATTTGATTATTTTTTGAAATAAAAAAAGTAAGTGAATTACAAATTATAGCAATCGTTGCTACATCTATAGTGGATTTTTTGTAACAAAAAATAGTATTATAATAAATATTATATTTACATAGTTATGGAGTTATTAACAAAGCTAAAAACTATCAAAAACAAAAATTAAGTTATTATTATTAAAAAAAAAAAAATACGAGTACAGCTGATAAAATATGTTTTTTACTTATAATTAAATTAATATTCATAATAAAGCAGGCTAGAAATAATAAGTTTTCCACGTTTTCACCTAATAAATAAGTTAGGCCAGGAGCACTGAAGACTGTTCACTTGGAACACAGCAAAGAAGTTTGTGCGTGCACGTGCACTGTGTGGGAATAGCATCCGGCACAGTCGCCATTGTGCCGGGAGCCACCAACCGCGATGCGAAAACTCTCGAAAATAGTTTGTTTCGGCCAGTCTTCCGCCGAAACCGAAACTACAGCCGAAACTCTTATTTAAAGCCGAAGCCGTAACCGAATCTTCGGTCGGACACTAATCATTTCACTTTTAATTTTCTATAATTTGTATAAATATACACTCGAGCGCTTCCGGTGCCCGGAACAAAGTTACTTTGATCTGGGTTCCGAGACAATAAGAAAAGCCGACGCGCGCTTTAATAGACGAATCGAATTTGAGTTCATAGCTCAGACAACACACGAAATCCCAGAGATATCCACAGAATATCTTTTGTGGATATACAATATATCCACAGGATATCAGAAATATTCCGTAGATCTAATATGGATATCCAAATGTCCGTCTATATCCAGAATATAGAAGATATCCTAATGGATATTCAGCAAAATATCTAATGGGTATCTTCCAGAAAATCAGGGACCCGGACCGAACCGTTATTAACCGAAAACCGGACCGGAACCGAAATGTTTTAGATGGACCGGAACCGAACCGATAATATATAAAAAATATTTTTTATGGACCGGACCGTACCGAACCGAAATAAAAATGAATTTTTTCGTTTTTTTCGGTTCTTGTGTCTTTTTCATATGCTTTTTTGTTGGCTGGAATAGCTGATTCACGTGACCAGTAAGACTCACTGAACACTAAACCCCATAGTTTTTATGACTGAAAGTAGCTGAATAATAAAACCACACCACACATCGGAAAAAAGACAAATAAAGTGAAAGTAGGTAACGTCAATATTAATTCAGCTACTACAAACTACCCTGTCAGATTGTACAGGGTTATACGTTATAAATTACCCACCCCTTATTATCGTTATTATTGCCTATAGAAACAGTCATAAATAAAATTTGAGTGGTTATAACTGTTTTTTGTTAAAATGCTATCAAATGTACAGTAGCGTGCAGATTTCAGGGGATACAAATAATAAATTTTTTAAAAGGGATACCCTGTATATTTTTACATTTTTATAATCCTCTCGATGAGCTGATTTTAACGATGTATCATACTTGATGTCTAATCTGGATAATAAAGGATCTACAGCCACATGAAAAATCACATTTTTGGAAATTGGAAATGTCATCTGACTTTTGAGTAAAAAAAATGTGATTTTTCAGGTGGCTGTAGATGTTTATTCTCCAGATTAGACATCAAGTGTGATCCATCGTTGAAATCAGCTCGTTGAGACGATTATAAAAATTAAAATATACAAGGTATCCCCGAAAATCTGCACGCTACTGTACATTTGATAGAATTTTAACAAAAAACAGTTATAACCACACAACTTTTATTTGAAACTTTTTTTTTCAATATGCAATAACGATAATAAGGGGTGGGTAATTTATAATGAATAACCCTGTATACCTACTATAAAAAAATCAATCGAACCGAAATAACTGAACCGAACCGAAAAAAATTTGGTAGAACCGAACCGCAATTTTTTTTGAGAACCGGAACCGTACCGGACCGGATTTTTTTAAATGTGATAAGAACCGGAACCGAACCGTCAATTTCATTTCGGTACGGGTCCCTGCAGAAAATACAAGAAATCCCAGAGATATCCACAGAATATATTTTGTGGATATTCAATATATCCAATATGGATATCCAACCAAATGTCCGTCTATATCCCAGGCTGGTTATCTCTGATCCCAGGATATAGAAGATATTTGGATATTCAGCAAAATATTTTATGGGTATCTTTAGTAGAGGTTCATAAGTAAACCAATGATTATTGAATAACGTCGAAAGAAAATAGCAGAGATAAAAAATATTTTCAACACTCTGCCTTTGATTTTGCCCACTAAGGAAAAAGTCATCCTTATTAGGACTCTTCAGCAATAAATGAAAATTCTCGACTCCAGTCTCTAATGGAGTGATTAGGACACAAATTTCGATTGAACTCAATTACGGCGGGTCGAGCATGAGTAGATGCGATAGTGGTATCGCCATCTATACTTAGTAAGCAGAATCAAATAACATCTAGTGGATATCCACGATGGTTTGCGTTCGCGCCTAGACTTTGATATATTTAGTGGATGTTCATGGGATATTGAATACACCTTAAAAAAATAATTTTAAATATCTGAACGGTACTATTAGCCATAATGGCGAGCACAATGGCGTAATTTTTTAATAATTTGCTATATAATTACTATTATTTATGGACATTTGCATGTCTATAAATTACATTTCATGGATATAAAATAGATACCTACCATGGACTGGACATTCAGTGGATATTGGGATGTTCAGTAGATATCCAAAAGATTTGGTGTGCTGTCTGGGAGGACGAAAATCATTGCTTAGCATTGTAAAGAGCACAGAAAACGTAGTTGTATTAAAACTGATTTTGATTAAAAAGTAGTTGTACTCTTCAAAATATTTGAAATAGTAGTAAAACAAGTTAACTGTAACCGAATGTTAACTACTCTGGGTATAGTTCCAATTACTGTTAACATGAACTACTTTTTAAAGTAGTTTTACTTGATATTTAAAATCACCAGTTAGTGAAATTGTATAGAAATTTGATTTGTCAGTGTCGAAATTTTGAAATTAATTTAGCAATACCTATGACAATCAAGATAAGATATATTTCACATTAGTATTGAGGATATCAAAAGGCATTATTTAGGATAACCATCATTGTACTTTATTTCCTGTAATATTTTTCATTTTTGTACGTTTCGTCTAAATATTTTTGTCATATTTTCCTATTCTGTAATTGGGTATTACTTGTAGAATAGTGTATTTAATAAATAAATAAAAAATAAATAAATAAAATATGAGAATGCATAAGTTAACTGGTGTAGTGCCATTACAGACCGTCCCATTACCGACCGCGACCCAAAACTACCTGCTCGAGTGCCACTACCGCCCGCGCAGGGTTTACTTATTTTTTGTATATCCCACTACCGACCACGAGATTCTATCACATAATAAATATGTTGTAGTTCTGAAAAGAACTGATTTTGTTTTAGAAATTTACATTTTAATAATTATTGATAAGGAATATTTTTATTTCGCTTTCAGTTAGAAACTATATTAAACGCTCTCCGTAATATTATACATTGAACTCTTATTTTAGGGCTTGCTAATAAATACAAAGTCGATCCCGATATCAGAAGGCATGTAAAATTTACGGCGGCTCTAGCCCATATTTACCTCCAGAATTCATTGATGCTGGATGGTTGTATATAATGGAATCTGCGCCCATTATTGAAGAAATCAATGATTATAATGAATATTTTGTGTCCCAATGGTTAGAAAACGCAACAATTAAGGATATGTGGATTTGTCACGGCGAGCGACACAGGACGACCAACGTTTGTGAATCCTGGCACAGTCTTTTAAATAGATTAATTGGAAAATCAAATCCAAATATAACTGAACTAATAAATTCGTTGAGAAATGATTCAGATTACTACGATATTGTTCAACAGAGGATCGAAAACAACATATCTCCGAAGAAACGACCTCCAAAATACGTGCAAGTTGATAGGCGCATAAATAGGATTGTTGCGGAATTGTCTATTAATAACAATATAGGGGCAGCACTTCATATGCTGTCAAATATAATTACCATTTGCGTCACATAAGGAGAATATAAAATTACTAAAACAAACTTAGTTCTTTTCAGAACTACAACATATTTATTAAGATGATTGATTTCTAGATGTATCTGTGACGCCTATGATTAGTAAGTATTCAAAGTTATTTTTTATTGCAAATGAGGATGAGTGATTTCGGGTCAGCAGGTACGTAGATAGGTATGGTAATCCGCACTTAACATCTGAACCAGATACTTATTATGAATGTTTTAATGTCATTAGTCAATTCATAACACATATTATTTATGATTGTTAATCTTCGTATTTATTAATTTTATTTACGAAAATAACCGGGTTAATTGATTTTCTTATTGTTCAATTATAAATTAAATAATAATAATAATTAAATAAAATAAGAGTTCAATGTATAATATTACGGGGAGCGTTTAATATAGTTTCTAACTGAAAGCGAAATAAAAATATTCAATAATTATTAAAATGTAAATTACTAAAACAAAATCAGTTCTTTTCAGAACTACAACATATTTATTATGTGATAGAATCTCGTGGTCGGTAGTGGGATATACAAAAAATAAGTAAACCCTGCGCGGGCGATAGTGGCACTCGAGCAGGTAGTTTTTGGTCGCGGTCGGTAATGGGACGGTCTGTACTGGGATATAGCCAAGTTCGACTATTACAGGGTGTTTATAACAAAACATCATCAACGATAATACTACTTACCTTTTGTATTATGAAAATTCATATTGCACTAGCTGACCCGATTTCGCTGGAATTTCTCAAATCTCAATTATTAAAAGTGAACAGTTTGTTACTCGAGAGAAATTTTTTTATGCGATACCTAGCAAAAATTTTTTATTATTATTTATTATTTTATTTATTAATTTTTAATAACTTATAATAATTTTTATTAGTTTTTATTTTTTAATAATTTTTATTTATTTATAATGTGAAAATCCAAAAACTTGAAATGAGTCATTATTTACTAATAATGAGTAGCTACAATTCCAATTTTCTACCTTTAAAAAAATTCGATACCCCCATACAACCTTTCCCTCATTTCCCCTCTTTCTCCCATTTTACCCCTTAAAATATGAAAATCCAAAATCACACCATTATTTATTTGTGATGAGTAGCTATATAATTCCAATTTTCAAGTTCCTACCTTTAAAAAATCGATACTTCCATACAAACTTTTAACCCCCCCCCTTAAAATGTGAAAATCCAAAACCCTGAAACACGTAATTATTTATTTATGCTCAGTAGCTGGATTTCAAATTTTCATGTTTCACTACCACTATGCAAACAATCATGTCTATGAAAAACAAATCTATCGCACGGAAACCATAAATTTTTCCGGGATAAAAAGTAGTATATGTGATATTACAGACTATAATCTATCTTTGTGCCAAATTTCATCCAGATCCGTTCTTGAGCAACAAACATCCATCCATCCAAACTTTCGCATTTATATACGAGCCCCTTCCCATTTCAGTTGGCCCACCTATTGAAATTTAGGAAATTCGTATTTAAAGATTAAAAATATAAATATTGCATGAACTTTCCAATTTTTATTCGTTGAACAATATGTTTAATATCGTTTAATCACAAAAAATATGTAGAAAACATTAAAATATTTATGTAACATAAAATTAAAAAAAATAAACAAATAGTTGGAATCAAACGTTAATCAATTTTAAAGTTTACCATTGAGTAACGTCACCTTTAATTTTTATTAAAGCTGAAATTCTTTGCGGCATGGTATTAACTAAGCCTTGGCAAAATTCTAGTGTAAACGAGTCCCATATATCTTGAAGTATTTGTTTAAGTTCAGGTATTATTGTTCTTGCAGGATGTTTTCGAAGTACCTTCTTCATCTCATGCCACAACGTTTCTATTGGTGATAAATCAGGACTACTAGAAACCCATTCCAAAAGTGGAACACCGAATTCTTCCATCCATTTTAGAGCTTTTTTTGACGTGTGACACCCTGCTCCATCTTGTTGAAATACAAAATCTTTCCCTGATGTCAAATATAATTCCATAGTCGGTAAAAGTGATTCCTCCAAAATGTCCAAATATTTATTTGTATTTAAAATTCCTTCAATAAAATGCGGTTTCCCTATTCCTTTAGATGACATGCTGCCCCAGACCATGACCGATGCGGGAAATTTTACTTTTCTTTTGAGATAGTCTGGATGGAACGCTTCATGTTTTTTGCGAATAACTTGACTTCTGCTATCTCCAACACAAACTTCGAATCGGGCCTCGTCACTCCATTGTATTGCATCCCATTGATGAGAAGTCCAACTCATATGTTCTTTTGCCCATCTTAATCGTTTTTTTTTCTGTTTCGCAGTTAGTAGTGGTTTTTCTTTAACCTGTAACAATATTATCAATTTTAAGAAAACATATTTGATTGTTTTAGTGTCTTCAATCCATGTTTTTTTTATTATAAACTTACTTTGTAAGTCCCAAATCCCAGTTTGCGAGCTTCTGTACGACATGAAGATCTCGAAATTCGTCTTCCAACAGCATTACTCCACTGAGCACTTAATTCAAGGTAATTAGCACGACGGTTGGTTCCAATAATTCTTCTCAATGCTCGTCTATCGGCATTTGTAATCTTGCTTTTTCTAACATGACAGGGCTTTGGGCTGATTGAACCAGTAGTTTTGTATCTTCTAACTATATTTCTTACAATATATCGTGATAAATCTAATATATTTGCAATTTCCGAGTTCGATTTTCCAGAATTGCAATGTTTTATAACAAGAAAACGTATTTTTTGTCAATGATTTTTCCTCTACCCATTTTATTAGACAGAATTAGCCTAAAAGAGGTTAAATTGTCTTGTGACAGTTATTTGCATTATTGTTTATTTTTTCAAAGCTACCTTCGATTTTGGTTTATTTTCTAACGAATTGAATTCAAGTTGAAATAATGCAATAATGTTCCATGTGTTAATAAATTTAAAAATAAATAAAAAAAATGATGTTTTCTAGTTTTAATTCTAATATAATTCTAAATTGATGCATTGTTAATTAATTTATGATATAAAAAAGCATGTAATCTTTAATACTTTCTTATTGTCGTTATATAAAGAAAATATCAATAGGTGGGCCAACTGAAATGGGAAGGGGCTCGTATTAGTAGGATTATTGAGTAAAATATGGATTAAAACACTCAAGGCGGATTTACAAAATGCGATGCGCCCTCGTATACTATATGGTGTGGAAACCTGCATAAAAATCTAGAAAACCTATCAAGTTTTCGAACTACCTACTCTGAGGCGCATCCATGAAGTGGACGACACAAAGTCGAAAATATTTTTCTCAAGTTTTAAAAAATGTCCACGTTTATACAAAGGGGTCGTTTGGAGTTGGGTGATATTAGAATGATCTGAAAAACAAGCAAAAAGATAAAACTTACCTTTAACTTTCGTAGAACCTCTTAGACACTGTTGTGGGACTTTTAAAGAAAAATTTTGCACACCGAGATCATTTTAAACAATTAAAATATAGAATAGTTCAATTCAAAGCCATTTTTTGGCCATTTTGTAAAAGATTGATAATTGTTTAAAATCAAGCTATATTTGGATTAAATGCGTTCAGAAAGGAACGCATTAATATAGGGTGTCCCAATAAGAACGTACACGAGGCGAACTTGTTTTTTGAAATGTAGACGCATCGTCTACCGTGACTGAAAGAAAACTACAAAATTTGATTTTATAGTTTTAATAAATGTACGAAATGAAACAATAAATAAAATATATACATAAATAATATGGCTTAATCATTTTAAAATCTTTCATAAATTAACAATTCTACAACAGAACAGAATAAAATATACACTGTAACTGAAATAGACACTTTTTTTTAATTGTATATTAATCACGATACTTTTTATATATTAAACAGAAATAAAACAGAAAGCTTCAGAATATATTTAGTTAATTATATTACCTACTTTACTCAAAGACAAATAGCAAATAAACCTCACATTTTTTCCATGTCCAGAGATTTGATAAATATTCTACTAAACAATTACGTCAAAACAGCCTATTTCATATTACTAACACAAAACCAGAGGTCATTTTAGAACAATTTTAGCAAGTTCAGCATTACATATAAAAATGTCGCAATTAGCGAAACACGTGTGGATAGAAGTAAACATAAGGACATGGAAAATATTCATTCCTAAAAGCATTTTTGAAACTTTGATATAAATTAAGAACTTCTTGAGAAAAGTAAACTTGCATTTATCAGTATCGAACCTCAAACATTCACAATTTTCTACATTTTTTTCCACACTAAATTTCAATTTTTTTAACATTATTTCTATAATAGAAAAATACTTTAAATGATTATACCTCAGGTTTAATATCTTTTAAACAATTTTCATGCAGCCAGTACTTAGGTATATACCGAATACCCTAAATAAATTCGAAAAATGTCAGAAACATAGTGTGGATAAAAAAAGCCTTTTTCATGTAAAATGGACCATGTCAAAATACAACAATGCTTGATCATAAAAAGTAAGATTTCAAAGTTCCCAAATATTTCTCAAAACATGTAGGACACCCAGTTGGATATAAAAACATTTTAAACTGATTATACCGTAGTTTAGATGTTATACAATTATTTAAAATAAATTACTGGTTTTGAATGTACATAAAGTGTATTCATTTTTTGTAAAAATAATAGGAATGTTTGGAATGATATATTTTTTTATTTATATATGCAAAAATTCATTACAATGATTTTTTTAAGCAAAAAATAATGTATATAAGTATCATTGCAAGAAATTTCTGTTATTTAAATGCTAGCTACCATTACAATATATACAAATTAGATTACAAAGTAAAATTTCTTCAACACCTTAAGCGCCACAATAATAAATTCAAAACGATGTTTCTCACACAGCAGAAAGACAAAGATTTTTTTGGTAACAACCAAAGTAATACGTACCTTGGAGGTTCATAGACGTTAAGCCAGGCTGATATCACGAAACTTTGCATCAAAACCAAATTATTTACTTAACGTGTTAAAGAGTGTAATTAAATCGGGTTGGGTTTACAAGAAACTTTTAGTTATTCAATGATTAACAATAATAAAAAAAAATGTAATATAAAATTGTGAAATAGGAAGTAACATTTATTAAGTTAAAATAATTATAAAAATTATTTAAATGCTGTTTTTTGCTAATAAATTAGGAATTTTTTTGTTGTTGGTAATTCAGGCATTTTTAAAATTATTCGGGATTATTTGAAACAACTTTTAAAAAAAATGCTTTCTTTATTATAATATATTATATGATAAAATAAGGAACATTCTTCAATTTTATAGTTCTAAATTCTTTGGTATGTTTTTAGAATCTAGAATAAATCATTAATTTTTAACTGAAAATACTCATAACCATTCATCGGAATTTTCAACTATTCAAAAAATAAGTATTGCCTGTACTTCTTATTGAAACTAGCAAATTAAGTATCATAATTATTACTTTTTATATACATCATATAATTTTCTAATAATACTCTCTAATAATTGTTCATGTTAAACATTTACTATGCTTTTGGTGTTAAAATTGCATAATTTTAAATATATTTACTTTACTCTCATATGCATGCAAAGTATTGAGCTATGCTTGATACAACACAATCAAAAAATTAACAGAAAAATTTATCCAGTCAATACTTTGTCAAATATGTATTGTACCAACCATACCTTGATTGGCGATAGTTAATCTACACAAAACCTTACATATGTATTCCCAATTAGTCAACAGAAGATCAAACAATATAGCAATTGAATATTTGAGAAGCATATTACATTTTGAATAGCTAGGCAAAGAGGTCTAAGTCGAAGGAGCCTTAAATTATAATTGAACAATCCCTTGTTAACAAAAACGATGAAATGTTCAATTAATTAAACTACCCTACCTACATCCCAGATATATATTTTTTTTAATTTACATTCCAGTTCCAGTGGATGAATCGATGTGGAATGATGCTTAATAGTGGAAAGAGCTAAACATCATGATGAATCAGTTTGAGATGAAACAGCTAATTGCACTGGACAACATCTAAAACACAGATTTATGTCTAAACCAACATAATGTAGTATTTCAGTTAACAGATAGGTATAATTGCCTCTCATCAAAGTCACTGTGATGTGGTCGATTTTATTTGTTGGCCTTTATTTTCCATTTTTGTAACCACTTGGCAATTAAACTTTCGAGTGTTCTTGGATATTAGCTGAGAAAACTCTTTAGTTGGAGACATCGACATGTCTGCAATGGTGCTTATACTGCCGGTTGATATGTGTACAATACATATAGTAAAGGGTCTAGAATACTGTCTTGAGGTACATTCTTGTATTAAAAAAACGGCAAGAGTTTTCCCATGGATCCTTGAATTTACATTTGCATTGGTGTAAGATATCAATAGGTTAAAGTGGGTTGTATGTAGAATTATTTGTCTTATTATAAATAAGCTTCGATATCAAATGTTGAATAAATGAATGAATATGTATGTCTAGGAACAGCGTAATTGGTTTGAGAAGAAATATAATTTGAGCAATTTTGATTTAGGCCAGTGTCGCATTCTTAACACAAATGTGGTTAGCGAACGATAAATTATTAATAGCAATCTGATTATTTATACCTGAACACTGAGCTGACACTTAATTTTGATTAAAGTGATTTATATTTTGCAAATAAAAAAAACCTCTGCTATCTTACAAATGCTTTTTTCAAATTTTTTAAACAATGAACATAAATCTACTTTAAGACTAGATCCATTTATTGGCGAGGTCTTGCCGGTAGCGGTGGGGGAGGAGCGGACCTAGCAGGAACAGGAGGCGGTCCCCTGGATGGGGTAGGAGGTAAGTTAGATTCGGACCTAGGAGGAGGAGGGGGTGGTCCTACCGGCTCCGGACAGCTTGTTACATCGTCATTTATTTCTTCGTATACGCCCTCTTCTTGCGGCAAATCTGGAGGGGGCATACTAGGCGGAGAACCTGAAGTGCGTGGAGATTGAACGGGCGAGGAACCTGCAGTGAGAGGAGATTGAACAGGTGGGGAAGTTTGAGGGGGTGGAGCAGAAGTAACGTGCGTGGGCGAAGACATTTGGGGTGCTGACATTGAAGAAATTGGCATGCTAATTACTCTGGCTCTGGGTAGAACTGTTCTGGGACTTGAGGGCGTTGATTTTCCAGCTGGAGGTGGAGGCCGACTTGGGGGTACTGTACGAGGCATCTTGTTTACCTCTGGAATGCCCAAACAATTATAATCCGACTGATTTGATGATGTATACAAAGGAATAGTGTTGCTTGAACATATTCTTATTTCTTCTTTAGCTTGATCCACCCAATTGGTTGTCTTCAGGGCAAGAGACAAGTCGAGGCCATTGATCTATAATATAATAATGATATTAAAATATATTTGATTGTTTTAAATTCAAAATACCTGTATCTTTCCAGAGGTCTTCTTCATAGCCTCCAGAACCACTTGCCCATCTCTGAAAGTAATCCACAAGGTATCGCCAACAAATCGAACCAAAATTGTTTCTCCAAATTGCGAAAATTCTTCTAGAAGCGTCATAACCATGTTGTCATCAAAGACAAAGTCATCACCTTCAGGGGCATCTTCACAATGTACTATAAGAGTGGAATCAGGTGGTCCCATTTCTGCTATTATTTCATAGAAAACTTTTTGGCGCATTTGTTCATTAATACTCCTTACTTCTAAATCCACAATTGCAATTACTGGCCTGTGATCACTTTGCTTTAACTCCGCCCTGCCTACAACATGACAACAAATAATATGAGAGACTATTTAATTATTATGATTTTTGAGTTACCATAGTACACCAGCTTTCCTGGATTATCATGTGAGACTCCGTTGATATCTGGAGTTAAATTTCTCCTTTTAAAAAGAACCCGATCGGTCCAAGCTGGGGCTCTACACTTCTCGCTTGTATCGTAATCATCACTGAACAAATCATACTTATAAGTAGGAGCAAAATTAATCGGACCCTCAATAAAGTTTTTAAAAACATTGCCTTCCTCCTGTTGCTTTTTAAGCTGATCATTTGCAAGTATGGATTGAAAATCGCCTTGCTTTACTAATTCTTTAATTTCGTCTTTGTCCATGTCAACACGGTAATTGAAATCGCCGCACCAAAAGAGATATTCATGACTGTTTAATGAACGACTCATGGGGAAAGCTATTTTTCTAGTTATTTCGTTGTAGTCTGCGTTTCTTTCACTTACTTGAGATTGGCCAGCAGCAAAATGAGCACAAACAAACGCCATAGATGTAGCATGAAATACCAATCTTATGGCTGCAGCACCTAGAATATTGGATGAAAATGGTTACAATGTCACAATAAACGAAAAAACTATACTGATAAACGACTGTAAATATTACTTTGTTATAATTTATCTTTACTGGATTGAATCTTGAGCAATAGATGTCAACGTATCATAGTGCATAATTCCATATCATGTGACGTTTCAGTCCTGTCCGGTATTCCTCAAGGTTCACATATTGTTTTCCTTATTCTTTAATGATGTTACGTCCTGCTTTCTTAATAGCCAATGCCTTCTTCTCGCGGAGGATTTAAAGTTTTTTAGTAGAAACACTGGTAATAACTCCGCCATACAGTCTGACTTAATAGGTTTGTTACCTTTTTATAAATGTTTCTAAGTGAACTGATTTCATAGCCGTAACACATGTTCTCAAACAAGATTATTGCTTTGTGGACTGCAGAAGAAAACAGGCTTTACTCCTACTCCTGGCTAAATTAATAGGTGGTCATTAATAGTGCGGGTCACTACTTGAAAGAGTTCAACTATAGCTTCCTGTCCGACGGACTCGAGGCACATCACTTTTGAAGGCAAAAGACACAAAACCAATTACGGACTAAGTGCATTTATTGATCGGTTGTGCAAGAACTATAATAAATATTTCAGCGCTAAAAAGAAACTTGCAACTCCTGGACGTCTAAGTTTTACTCGTATCGTCCGTCCTATAGTGATTTTCGTTTTTTAATGTTTTATATTTTTTTAACTCACTACATAAATAAATAATTTATAGTTAGTTTCTTGTATACAATACTGACTTACTGTTTTAAACAATGTAAAAAGGGACGTTATGATTTAATACATTTCCCCACTTGCTATTCTGATACAGCCTTTAAGTAGGCAACTTTTAGTACGCACTAGTGTATTAAGTGTTGCCTATTTAAAAAAAAAAAATAATATGTAATTATATAGATTGCTCATCCATATGTAAATCCGTCTACAAATATTGGGTTTTACTCACCAACCTTCATATTAAACTGGAAGGCTATATGAGATAACCCCTAATCCTAATGTCTAAGCCGACATGGGTGAAAAATACGATCGGTGCGCATGACGATTTTGACGCCATACTGTCAATTTCAAGCGTTCTACGTCACGTTTTCCACGGGCGTACTAAGGTAAGTTATATTATTTTTTATTAATAACGTGGTATTTTAATAATTATTATTATTGGAACATTTGTTTTAGTTGCGTATTAATTAAAAATCATTTTACGTGATTTCCTTAAATTAAAAGGTGTTGTAGTTAAATATAACAAGTGTTAAATTTAATTGTTCCCTTTTAGTGCATTTCGATACGCACGTGTGGGCGCCAACGTGTCAAATATCACCTCGCTATGTGGCTTGATTTTGTTGATCGGATTTGCTCTTCCAGTTTAATATATAGTTCAGTGGTTTTACTGGGCCAATTTTCATGTTATCTAATATTAATGATTTGTCTCAATTTTGAATACTCAGTTGTAAACAAATCATTTAAAGAACCGGTTTAGAAATTAGAATCTTTAATGTTTTCTTGTCATTAAGATTTTTACAGATTTAAATGTACATTTTATAGATAGTAAATATAATTTTACAGATAATGAATAGTATATATTGTTAATTAAAACTAGTGTAGGGTATTACTATGAAATTAGAATGTCCAATTTGACAACAAATATCATGGTCCTATTTATAATAAGGAAACAATTTATAAAATTAATTTTATTCAATAATCAAGAAAATTTGTTCTGTATAATTGCAATAAGCATCAGTGTAATTAAATAGTTTTAATAAAAAGTTTTTTTAAGTAGTGACATTTTATTCTAAAACGGGCCAAAACGGTTCTGTTCAGTGAGCCTTGGAAATGCAGTATAGCAGCGTACATTGAAACCCGCTTTTCGTTGTTTTTAAATATGGGTGAGCAATCTATATAACTATTTATATATCATTGGCTTAAACATTCATAAAATTTTTAACAACAAAATCAGAGGAATAAAAAAAGTTTTTCCAATTTACTTAAACAGAAAAACTTTTTTTATCCCCAAAGGACCAAAACGTCCCAATTTAGTTGAAAAAAAAAATGGGACTGATTTAGGAGCAATACGCTAGAGACATGGGTTTAAGGGGATCATGCGCTATGTTAAATTAGGATGTGCGAGCCTAATGTCACAAATTATTCCGCCTTTTTATCTTAGTATAAACTTATTTTGGATAAATTTTAGGTTTTGGTATGTTCGATAGGAGTTCCAAGCATAGTTTTTTCGTACATTTTGGGTCCATGGGCAATAAAAAGGTAGCCATTTTGAAATTTTATATACGTAATTTTTTTTTTTTAGTTTTGACTACTAAATGGCAATTAAAGGTATATGAGGAATTTTTAGAAATATTAAACCATTTTCTAGGATTTGTGGGCTCCAAAAATCAGAAGATTTACAAAAAACGGACTTTTTAATAGATGAATGCTATTTAATTGAAATTATAACTTCCTATGCTGAAAAATCATTTTTTTTTTTAATTTTCGTCAAATTTTCAGAAATTTTGGAATTTCGAATATTTTGTTTCTGTCGAAGTCTTAATAAAAGGTGCGTTTTTAAATTAATTTAATGTCGTAAACGTATGCTTAAATAAAGACACCGTACGTTTAAACATAGTTTTTTAAATTTTGCAAAATTTTTAAAATTTTAAGAGAAATTATGGGAAAAGTCAAGAAATTGTTCAATTTAAAACGTTTACCTTTATTTCCCGTGTGTCCACCCAATCCAGTTTTGACCGAATCTACAGCTACATCTCGAATATAAGGTACATGTTCAGGCCTTACAAATACATACAAACATACTCCAACCAACTGTTGATAAGTTAACAAAACATAAGGTCTATCTCTAGAAAGTACTTTCTGCAACTCCACAGCCCATGCTTTAGCATTTTCAGTACTGGAATTAACAATATTAGCCGCATTTAAGTCTACAATTTCCTCAAATCCTATAGCATATAAGTCAACAGGGATAGACTTGCGGGCATCTGTATATCCCGTATCTACCAGATTGCCTTGGCATTTGATATGTGGATCCAAGAGCCAATCAGAAAGTTGAATGTCTTTAAAAACTACGCTGCGAAAATGCTTTCCACCATTAACATTATAGGTGCCTGCCGCTATGCGAACTGAGATTGGTTCTGTATACTCTGAGAATCGCTTACACATTTCTCTAAGAACATGGTTTGGAGCTACAAAATAAGTTGTGGTAACTTTCTCATTTTTCAAATTAATTGTTTATACTTTAATACAGAAATAAAAGAGAGCAATGGAATGTCAGGATTGAGAGAAGAATGCTGATAGAGTTGCCATACATGCAATATTCATATTTACTCACAGCTGAAAATTCCCTCTTGCCCTGTAACCAACGAAAACGAACTTTGATGCAATTACATTCCATTACTGCCTATTATGTCTGTATTCAACTACAGAATTTTATTAATTGTTCACCATGAAGTGTGTTGTAAGGTAACAGATTTCTAGCTCTATCAGCCAATTCTGAAGACAATGTAGATCCCACTAAAAGAATATCAATAGCCTCTTGTTTAGAATTATCTAATAAATTATTTTGAATAGTTCTAGCAGCAGATCTTGCCCCATCCATTAACTGAAATCATATAGTTTTTAACACAAACATACATCAAACCTTTTTAGCTTACTTTTGATCCACCCTGTATAGCGCCAGTACCAGCATAAATTTTACTAATTTCATTACCATTATTTATCCACATCTGTTTAAAAACCTCTTCAAACCTAGATATGGTTTGCTTTTTGTCTATTAACTGCATACATATTAGTTGTTGGGTCAGAAGCTGTAAATAGAATTGGTTAATATTTTTGAGCCCCAATTTATTTGGCTGTTTTACCTCAAGTCCAAGGAAAGTTTGGACACAGTTTGTTCTATCTAAACAATCTAGACAGTTGGTACGGATTGTACCTTTTTGTAAGCTGGAAAATAAGTTTTACATAATTTATACAATTTTTATCAATATTGATCTTTCTCAATGCCTTTAATATAATCAATTTGATAATTGTGCATTTTGTAATAACAAATTTTACAAAAATCTTACCTATAGACACTAGTCCCATTTGCATGGTAAAAAGAAAAATCTTGAAGTTGTTGCTCTAATTTATTTTTAAGTTTTTGTAAATTAGCTTGATTTCCACCCCGACATTCTTGATGATAATCAAAAACTATATGTGGTACATCAGAATGCATAGACTCCTTATGATGTTTCTGAAATTACAGAATACAATTTACCCAAAATATCATTAAATTTTTGTCAATAACATTTTTGCAATGTGAATAATCTAACCTGGAATTCTTGACTTAAATTTGCTTCTCCTTCCTTACTACCTATGAGACTGGTTCCTAATAAATTTAATATAATTTGTTTCCCATACCACTCCTTTATCAACGCCATGTGTCTATTAAAAGCAGATTTTGAGGCTTCATAACCTCTTGATATTCTTACTTTATGAGATCCCACCTAAAAGATTAATACAATTTTTCACCATTGACATCACAACTTTCTTAAACTGTAAAAAAATAAAATGGTACACATATTTTGATGTCTGGAAAAATAGGGCCATAAATCATGACTTTGAATCACTTTTATATGCAGAAATAAAGAAGAAAATAAACTTACTTGAACCCCTGGTTGCTCCCAAAATAAAGGAACAGAGCCCCTAGTTTGTAGATATGAGGTAACTTCATTTTCCAAAAATATCACTTGTTCAGTCTCTACAAAATTAGCTACATGCCCTTCATCATTTGTCCCTCTTACATTAAACCTAAATAAAGTGAATCAGATTAATATAATTTATTTTAGTATAATACTTCAAATCCATGTGAGTAATATATTTTCTTTGATGTGAGTATATACCTACATATATCAGTTCTTGTGACTAATGTAAACTTTTGTAAATCTTTCAGTAACAAATGTATAAATCTATCTAAATCTGAATCATACCGAGGATATGTCTTTTGGATGAACAATAAAATAAAGCAAGCAAAAAAATATTAATTACTATAAAAAAATCAACTTCTAGTCACTATTAAATTAGGTTTTAACACTATATTCTGAATGAGATAAACTGTAAAGAACATATTCAGTGATTTTGTTTTAAAATAAAAATGTTGTGTACCTTGTTCCTGCTCTTTCACAGCTTAATCTTGAAATAACTGCAGCCAATGCTTTCCTGTGGCTCACATAAACCGTTCTCATTTCCACAGAACCACACATTGCTTTTACTAGCCAACTACTGCAATCTACACCAAATCTCACTAAATGAACATGTAACATACGATTCCTACAAAAATTTAGTATGGTAAACCAATGGTATATAATGCATTTAATAGTATACTTACCAGAAGAATCTGTGATCTGTCATTGATGTTATATTTCTCCTTTGTGCACACAAAGTTAAATCTAAAGGAGTGCCTCCTGGCGCTCCTGAATACCATGAAAAATAGAATGTTCCAGAATTAAGTAACTTGCGCACCTAAAACAATAGTTTCTTTCATAAAAAGGCTCGATTCTGAAACCTATTATGTTACTTCTGCAATGCGATCTTCATTTTGAGAAAAATGTAATGGTACAAACTGAGTTTGGGTTATTCTGAATATTTCCGAATCCCCGATTTTCCCTACAGAGAAAGAGCCTGTTACCATAACCAGGTAAAGGACTGTAGTATCACTTGCATTTAGCTGAAGAACACCTAAGCAACCATAGGCATCTAGTATTTTTGTGTATTGTTTTTTTACTGCTTCAGTTTCTTGCACAGCTATAACATAAAACAGGTAACGTATACAATCTATCATTAATTAAGCAACTTACAAAGAACTGCCACTGCCTGTGATTCAAATAATAATGTATTTTCTTTGCCTTTGTGTTCTAGAAGAACACTGTGAGGATTTGGCGGTTTTGATTTTTCGTATACACGAAAACCTTTGTACATAGCCATTTTCGCTGTTAATTATATAATGAAAAGGGATGAAAAACTGTATTATATAGGTTATTAGATTACTTATTGACATTTAATACATCACTTCACTGTTTTTATACACCCCCTCATTCCAATCAAAATCAATTTTTGTTTTTCCAAATTATTAGTGACAGGTGACAGTGACACTTGTGTGACGGCTCGTCAAATTTCGTAGTCGACGATGACAACCGAGGCCTAAAGCTACTATCACAGACCTTCTATAACTAGACTAGAAATTCGTAATGTTTCATCTTAGTTATTAAAAGGGTGAGATTACAGAACGTCTGCAACTTTGCAGATCTGCAAATATGGCGGCAACTTTGCAGATCTGCAAATATGGCGGACTTACATATGCACGTATCAAGTTTTCGTATTCCAAAAATAATCGGCAAATTCGCAATATTTATTGTGGTTTATTACCCCCAACAACACTAAACCCAAATCCATTACTATGTTTAAAAACTTGATAATCTGACACCATGAACTGTATTTAATAAAAAAAAAACAGAATTCTTCATGGTTGTAGGATGTTCTAACCTTCTTAAGGGTGGATTTGGATATAGTGTTGTTAGGGGTAATAAATATTGCGAATTTGCAGACATTTTTTGGATACTTGCATCTGTAAGTCCGCCATATTTGCAGATCTGCAAAGTTGCCGCCATATTTGCAGATCTGCAAAGTTGCAGACGTTTTGTAATCTCACCCGTAGTGCGACAAATATACGACACAGCTTTAGGACCGATTCCAACGTTGTGTCAAACGAAGTTTAAAATGACATTTTTACATTAACAATTTCATTTTAATCTCCGTTTAACACAACGGTGGAATCGGCCCTTATAGAATACAGCTCCACACATAGATAAATTAATGGCTCCACAACTTCGTGTCGGCGCCTTTGATTTGGCGGTCGTGAACCAAGCAAGACGGAATGGTGCTATCTCTGTTAGATTTGACGGAAAAGTTGGGCCCGGATTAAAAAATATTTTTATTATTGAAATAATTGAAGACCTTGGCGTAATAAGGTTGGTTACATGCCACATTAAGTAAGTTTTGAGAAATTAAGTTTTAAATATGTTTTAATTCTGTCAAATATAAATAAAAAATTATTTAAACTTGAATATTACGAAAAATAGCACATCTTTCGGATTAGAGGTAAAATAATTTGTATGTGGCTAATAATATCCTTGTTAACAGATGTTTTTGAGCTAAAACAGTCACTTCACGACAAATTGTGGCTTGCATTCTTTTTACACTAAGGGCTTCAATTATTAACGACTTTTGTCACGCCCGTGGATGCAAATCAAGTGGTACTCATTGCGCAAAGGGTTTATACCTAGCTAGATATATGAATGCTTCGCCTGAGGTCTGGGAACTCGATGGTATTCTGGGTTATTATAAAGAATCGGTCACTTGTGCTTTTATTTTAACAATATTGGTTTTTTTAGATGTATTCTTATTCATTGGAATAAATATTTGTAGAAGTAATATTTTGACAGTTTTTATCAATATAATTATTCAATTTTTATCCGTTCGTACCGAAGTAGGGAATTTTGAAACTTGATAGTAATGTGAAATTTGAATTACAATATTACGCGAAATTACATAATTAGTACCTATTTTAGGTAGGTACTAAATTTGTAGTTGGAGAAAGTAATATCGATTTATACAAGAAAACTTAAAAAGTAAATTAATTTACTTAGTTCCTATTTACTGATGTAAACATTAAAACAAGAAAACAAATAAATAGTAGTTTTGTACAACAAGAGTGAATATAGACAATCCACTCGAGTTGTACAGTATACTTTTTCTACGACCCACTGACGAAAATCTACAAATTTAAAAAATTATTTTGGGTTATTTAGACAAAATAACTAATTTTAAAATAATTTATCGAAACTTGGATTTTAGTTTTAATACTCGTAATTAAATTAGTATCATGTAGATTGATTAAATTTTTTTTTTCATTTTTTTTTTTAAATGTTCTCACTACCTAAAATGGATATGAAATATATTCGTTTAGTTGAACACGATAGCATACTTTTTCGTTTTTTAGCGTAGATTAGCTAATATTTATGTGGGCGTAGAAAAATTATTTTGAACATGTTCAAATTTACTACTTATGGTTTATTTGACGCGGATATCCATTCTTTGAAGGTTTAAATGCACAGTGTTTGCAAATAATTTTTTTGTGAGTAGATGTACCTTACACTGTCAGTTTAAGATATGTTTCAAAACACTCTGTATAAAATAAACCAGTTCTATAACCACTATTCGTTAGCTTAATATCTTATAAGTCTGTTTATTAAACAATTTTGAAATCAATGCAAACCTACCTAAATTATGATAATTTAATTTGGGGTTTGCATCAATCTTTAATTTCAAAAAAAATTAATTGCTTGGCAACACTGTAATATTTTAAGCTATTGCATAGCTTTTATCGCGGGCTTTGAGCGCGGCGACCGAATCAAGAATTTCCGTAACGACCGTAACGAAAAAAAAACTAACACCCCCCACTCCGATCGGCACAGCATTAAACAATATTAACTTCTCATTTATTCAATAAAGAAAATCGAAACAGAAATTCCGTAACGAATAAAATAAACCTAACACCCCCCACTCCGACCGGCACAGCGGTGCGGCGTTGAAAGCCGTGCATCGTCTAACGTCGTTTCAGTTCGGCAGATTTCGGCACGGTGTTGGTGTGCGTGCGACTAGACGTATGCGTGTAGACTAGCTGCTAACTGATTCTATCCCTTTTAGACACAATTTCGTAAAAATTGAATTTTAAAATGAATAATGATCCACAAGAATCCACAACAAAATATGGGACCACCATTGACGCGGTATTTTCCAGATATTTAGAGAATATCCAGCCTCAAACTTATGTTTCTTATTTCAGTTACCATAAACCTATAGTTTCAATGATAAAAATTCCTGAATAACCTACATGTATTGTACGATAATAAAAATATTTAAAACAATATTAACTTCCCATTTATTCAATAAAAGAACAAAATTGTTTTCTTATCGGTCATCACGCTTAAAAAGTGTAACTTGAATTAATATCAAAGAAAAAAAAATACTGCATAAATAAATAATTATAATTGCATGAGTTGATAAAAAATGCTACGCAATAGCTTTACCGCGGCAGTCTCCGAGTGCCACAAGTATTTTTTTTTTTAATATATAAAACTAAAATACAGAATGTTCCATTTAAAAAACATACATTTTGATTTGTTAGGCAAAAACGCGACACCCTGTATATCAAAAAATATTTTTAAAATATGTATTTTTCAAATCCATATAACCTATATTTAAAACTTTTTGGGACACCCTGTATAAATTATATTATTAACAATGAAAATTTCTTATGTGGTACTTTCCGGTTTAGGTCCTTGGGGAAAACGAAAGAATATTTTCTTGCAGGTATAACCCTTATTGAAACAGCTTTTGACTGCACAAACAGAATGGTGTCTTTTTTTCACTCATTCTACTCACAGCTAAAGAGTCATCAAAATAATAGCAGTACCTTTAACTTAACACAACAGAGAGCTCAAACAAAATCAACGAAATTATAGGCTCAACGAAATTTATACGCACGGCTCAATACCTTACCTAAGTACACTTCTGAACGCCAAAGCCGTCTTTTCCGTCCGAAGGCGGAGCTTAAGCGATGCGCGACGGAATCGACGCAAACTGTTGACGCCAAGAGAGTGTTTTAGCTGTATTGTATAAGAGCTAGTCTACTGCTGCTCGATGGCACATACGAAATCGAAACCAAATACAGAGGTATAGATCTTCCTAAATAACAAACGTTTATACGAAATAATTGTATTTTTTACTTTCAGAAAAGTATAGGAATAATTTTTTTCGACGATCTTTACGTTTTGGGATCCCCTAAATCCGTTCTCAATTTTCGCGATGGTCTATCCTCCGGTGGGCTGATTAGATTTTGGGTATAGTCTGAGAATCTGAGAGTATTTTATAGAAGGTAGTTTTTCTATTTTAAGAAAATTCTTTCAATAAGTTTTTATACCTGTTTGTCCTATACATGACTTTTCTAAAATGGATCGTAATGGAGAAATTTGAGGAAAAATTTAAATTTTGTATTTTCGTTGTTTAAAAATGATCTACTTTATGTAACCATTGTGACCCCTTTATATGTTATCAATTTCTCTACATTTTATATTCAGTTTTAATTTCTGGTCCTATTGCACTCTAAATTTCTCTAGATCTATGCAAATTTTTTTTTGTTCTTGTCAGACATAAAAGAAAAGCAGTATAAAATACAAAAGTGTCTTTCTTAGTACAACTGTTAGGCGAGCAGTTTTATATTGATTTTATTCGCCATTTAAAATAAAAGCAATACAGTGTAAAAACAAAGATTTAATTGTAATTGGCCTGTTTTATATTAAACTGCATTAACAAGTCGAAATATGAATACATTTAATAGTATTCTTATATGTATTAAGAAGTTCCAAATCTGCACTTTTTGTATAACATAATACTGCATATAAAAAAATGGAAGGAGTGACAAACTATTGATTTAAAGAAAACCCAAAAATTACGTGGATGAAACAGCACACAGAGACTAAATATATTACATATGTCACAAATACAAATTGCCATTGATATCATAAAAAATATTTCTCGAATTTAAGATTAAATTTTTACAAAATATATAAATTGTCCACCTATTTACAAGCCCGACTTTTCTGTATTTCAGCATCTTCTTGTTTTTTTCGTTGCTTTTCTCTCATTACCTCAGCATCTCTAAAAATAACAATTTAAGTTAATGAAAAAAGATACTTTTGGATAGTATATACATAAACCCTTTAAAATAAACAACTTTTTCAATATTTATTTAAAATAGGTCCACTCTAAAATATTTGATTGCATCAACAGAATTAAGAGTTAAATATTATTTCAATTTTATTTAGTATTATTGATTCATAAAATAAAATTTCTAATAAATCCATTTTCATTTGAACTTTTTATTTTCATTAAAAATAAGTATTTTCATACAAAAAGTACACAAGATAAAAGAAAAAATATTCGCTTCAATTTAAAGAAATAGAAGTCCAAGCCACTCCAAGCTAATTTAAAAGCATGAACGAAAAGAGACACTCAAAGCACATGTGATGATAAACTGTACAAGTGATGATCCACAGATCGATTTGACAAACCTCCCAAACATTCATGTATGAATCAGAAAATACATTGGAACTTTTACTAACAGTTCATCAGATTATCCCTGACTTTATGGAAATGGACCATTTTCAATGCCCATCTATCTAACATCCTTCTGATGAGCTGTTGGAACAAACCTGATATTTTTAGTATAGTAATATGTACATAACAGTCGATTCAAATACAGAATTATTAGTGAATGTGTGTTGTAATTCCTAACCTTATTTTAAATTATTAACTTGTAGTTATACAAAATATTGGTATTTTTATCTGGAGAAAGAACTAAATATCACCAACTTATATAAATATAACACAGTTTATTCATAAAACATCAAAATAATTACATTACATAGAACATTAAAAAATATGAAACTATTTTCTGCAAAATCTCCTTTTCTGTATATGTAAACAAAAGTATCAAATATTTTTTTAGCTCAAAACTCACAGAAACATGTTAAAATACTTTTTAAATATGATTGCTATTTTTATGCACCTTCGTGTTGATCATTTAGAGCTCACCTATGTTTTCGTTGTTCAACAGTCAGACCATCGCTTCTTTTATTTTTGTCCTGTTCCTTCTGTTTTTTTTGGGCTTTCGCTCGGGCCAATTCTCGTTGGTTGCCACCTATAAAACAAAAATTACGGGGTAATTAAACATTACCAAAAATAAATGATCTACTTACGGGTCATTTTTGTTAAAAATATAAGTAAATATTTTTAAATAAATAACGCTTTGGCTTCCGAAGGCCGCAGGCTCCTAAAAAAACTACTACACCACTATCTTGATAAATACATTAATTTGGACAGGTGACAGTTATTGAGGTGACAGACTAAAGGTCTGTTCAAAAGAAGTTCCGCTCCAATTCATTGGTCAGTTCTGTTCGTTCGTTTGTTAAAAGAGCATGAAAATTAATAAGCTACAATATAAATTTAGCGCGCCAGGCCTGGGCCAACAACGCACCAATTTCGTCAGATTTTCTTAGGTGCTGTGGGGTGGGTCTACAGCGCGATGGAAAGGGAAAGCAACGGGTCTACTTCGATCCTATTTGGCGCGGCGCATGGTGGACACACATCACAGCACCGTACAAATCTGACGAACTTTGGCCCTTTGTTGGGACGACGTAGGCACGGCGCACCATGTTCATACGCACCTTTAGCACAGAATAACCTACCTATTATAGGTCCCAACAAACAATAAATTGCCGGAATATTGCTGGCCTTTTGCTGTAATTGAAGGGAAAATGAATGCGACGATTAAAAGATAAAAGCCTACTTTTGGCCTTTCGATAGTGGCCCAGCATTATGTTGCTTGATGAAGGGTAAGTAACTGTATTGGGTAAAAGCATGGTAAAAGTCAAAAGGCCTTTAACTGCCGCAGACCCAACAGTCCAGGAGGGCTCCGCCCCGGGTTCATAGATGGAGACACCGATGACCGCTTGTTACATACTCAACGAGTGGATATGTACTAGGCCAGTCTCGCATTCCTAATATTTAATATTCATTGTATTTTTATAATTTTACATATTAATACTTTATTAATAATTTTTTTGAAGTAGACATTTTTTCAGTATTATTATATAGCTGAATTAAATAGAATGTATACATATTCTATATTGAAATGCCTTCTGTTTTTGTATAGAATTTATAGTTCAAACGGTACTACTGGTCAAAGAAGGCACTATCGAATATCCTGTCTGATATCATGTGCCTGACACATGGCCTTTATTAATATGGTAAAAGGCCAGCAATTTCCCGTTAACTTCCCATCAATAGGCCATTATTATCTTTTTATCTGATTTTTCTTTCATCTGAAAAGATGCGGTGTTTGGGCTCGAATGTCACTAAAACAAAATATTAATCCAAAGTTATTTTATTAAACCAACATAATTTTTATCAAAAACGAATTATTAGAACATTTGTTATAAAAAACATTATTTTAAAAATGACTATACTATAACTAAAAAACAATTTTGTCCACAAGTGAAATATTTAATTATAGTTATTGTATCTTTAATATCTATTTGACCGTACATACAGTTTAAATTGCTTGCATCTTATTTACATTAAATAAGTTGTTTATTAAAAAAACGATGATACAACTATTATTAAATAATTACTTGCTTAAATTTCATATTTTTGTGCATTTTATCATTAACCTGAGTATTAAAATGTGAAAGACCAGTTTAGAAAAGTTCAGTTGGCTCCAGAATTTATTTAAGAGGAAATCTATCGATTTGAAGATTGCTATCTACAGCAACAAATTAAATTGTGACATACTAAATGGGCTATGCTTGAAAATATTTCTTGTGTCAGTGCCCTTATCATCTAGTCGTATTGCAGCGAAGATTAGAAACGCTACACATCCAATTCTGTCAGTGGTCACCTATCCAACATCCTACAAGAGCTAATACTGCTCGATTCTAAGACCGCCCAAATGCGGCAATACCCAGCGCCCGCGACTCCTGCTAAACTATTCTTAGTGGCCCATCATATTAAATAAAAAAAAGTTAAAATATTAATATAGGTATTAATAATTATTAATCACGTAAGCCGTTGTAACTTTATTCAACTTTTAACAATCTATTAGGCACTCCAAACAAAGTAGTTGGCTGTGTGCCTGATGGATTTGACAGGGTCAATGAAAAAGTCTGGCAAAAAAGTAATTTCTTTGAAAAGAATAAATGTATAATTATGAAATTGTAGGCTGTAATGCATAGATAAATTAATAATTTATTATTAATTTATCTATGCTGTAATGTCAAATTTATGTGACGTCAGCATTTAGCGTACCGTCGTCATCTTAAACTTTTTTAAATGACAACGTAGGTCGAGTTATATATCAGAGAAAAGCTTATTTTTTCCGTTTTCAAGAATACTAAAAAAGTAGCACATTACTAATGAAAAGCCCTATAACATTGCAGTTCTATTAATGTACTATTTTTGATTCACCACAGGTAGATAGTTAATCTGAAACTAAGAATAGTAATAGACACTGAAAAAATGTCAAAAACATTGTGTATACAAAAAATTGTCAGATTTAATTTAGTCTTAATTATATTTGATTTCTAGTGTTTAAAATTAAATTAAGAATAATGGCAAACTTATCAGAAAGAAAACGAATCCAGATACTAATGTTCATTGGATATGGTGATAGAAAACGTACTTATGAAGAAGAAGTAACTTTTGAACGATTTAAATCTTTAAAGACCTCCTATAAGTAGATCTACGGTTTCGAGTCGAATAATGATAAAATTTAACGAAACCGGTAACGTACAGGATCGTCCAAGGTCTGGCAGACCAAAAACTGCAACTAATAAAGTTAAGACTTTAGATGTCCTACTAGATGTTCAAGAAAATCCTAAAACATTTACATTCGAGCTGTTAAGAAGTCATAATTGCCGGTACGGGTCAGCTTGTAATCCGCACTAGATGGACGAGACTCATACACAATATCCACAAAAAGTTAACAAGTAAAAATGTAGATAATTATTTTTTTTATTAAATACAAAGGCTAAAATTTGGTATTAAAATACATTTTTCTAAACCTATTGTGATTAATGAGCACTTATGAGGAAATATGGCCGCTTTGAACAATCTATTTAACTACATACAGGGTTGCCAATCGTACGGTAATTACCGTACTTGTACGGTATTTACATAAAAAGTACGGTATTTTGAACAGAATTAGCAAAGACTTAGAGTTGTGTAAGGGCCGATTCCACCGTTGTGTTAAACGAAGTTTAAATTACTAAAAATGACATTGTCTAATGTAAAAATGCCATTCTAATCTTTTTACAGCACATTTTCTTCAAAAGGACAAAAGAGCTTTTGTAAAAAAATTTTTTTTTTTAGAAGTTAGGTAGAAGGACCAGAGGTTAATTAAAATATAATGAGGACTTTTTTGTTTTTAGAAGCCTGACAAAAAGAAAAAGATATTTACACAATATAGTTTTTACAAAATAAAAGTGTACGGTACTGGGAAGGCCATGTACGGTAATTTGAATTGCACGGTACGGTAAATGGAATTTGAAAAGTTGGCAACCCTGACTACATATATCATTGACCCTTTCAAAGCCAACAGGTAGCCACTTGGACAGGTCGTTGGAATGCCTAATTTACATGAATAAACATTCATTAAATATAAACATTGAGCAAAAATGGTTAATTTATTGTCAATGTTTTAAAAGTCAATACTTTTTATTGCTATAAATGGATTCGGAGTCATTCAACTCTATCTCTTTTTTGACCAAAGATAATTAACTTACCGTTTATCAATGAATTTACATTTTTGATTCAATTATACCCGTTTGTGAAAATATTTTAGTTTTATCGTAAACAAAAATAAAAAATCTTGCTTCTCCGAAAAGAATAACAATTTAACAACATCTTTAACAATTTTAGTTTCTTAGGACCCTTTCAGAGCTAAGTGTGTCACCGGTCTACAGTTTTTCTACAGAATGGTAATTACTGAACACGTCGAATAAACAAGCATAAATGTGAAATGACAAACAGTACTGAGGCATGTCAGTCATCTATCGGCAACACGCTTAGCTTTGAAACAGCCCTTAGAAATAATATTAACACTCGGGAGTATTCTCAGCATATCTTATATTCTTCTTAAAAAGCTCTTTTAATTTTTTAACATTCCCTCCTTTATCAATCTCTTCCTGACATTGGGATTCTAAAATTACTTTCTCCTCATTGGTACAATCGAAATTGGCAATTCTTTTGTTAACCTGCAAAACCTTCCACTTGTCTTGATGTACGGATAGAACATTTTGGATTGTTTCCCTGGTATCAACATCAACTTTATCACATAATTTAGGAACTGGTAGGGCGTCGCCTAAAAGTATAAATTGAGAAAATTACCACTTCGTTTATCACTTTAAACGCCTTAAATCAAATATGATCTCACCTAAAAGGGCTTTAACACACATGGTCATCGAAAGGGCAGTGCTTTCCAAGTGATAACCACCTTCAAGTGCAAGAAGTATTTTTCCGGAAGCGAGAGGTTTGAGCGTTTGTATGAAATGTGAATATATTTCCGGTGTCAACTTGTACCCATTGCCGAGAGGGTCAAAATACCCGGCATCAAATCCTGCAGACACAATTACGAAGTCCGGATTGTACGAGTAGGCCAAAGGAAGTACAATTTTTAACCAAACGGTCCAGTAATCGTGGTCAGTCTTATTTCCCTAAAAACGTAGAAATTTTACTAATACTGTTCGTCCAGGTCGAATGTTAAAAAAGTGATCTTTAAGAGTCATAAATTTGGACACATTTAATGCCCCGAAACGGTACTGCAAATTTTCTTGAAAAACAATAAATAGATAAGTTCAAAAAATTAAGATTCATGAAGTACTTAATTTTTTTTACAAAATATCAGACAATATTTCTTACCTTATTGAAAGGTATATTAATATTATATCCATTTCCTTCATTTCGTCCAGTGTAACTATAATTAGCTTCATCTGAAAATGGAAAATATTTTGCGTTGTCATATCGATGTACAGAAATATACATAATTTCCTTTTTGTCGTATGTGAGATTTTGCGTTCCATTGCCATGGTGGATATCAAAATCCACTATTAGTATTCTGAAATAAAAAATAATTATTGCTATAAAAGCAATACTTTTAAACTGTTATCATACCTCTTATAATTTTTCTGTTTAATAAGATATTCAGCTGCAATCACAACATTATTAACAAAACAGAATCCAGATGAACTGTCAAAACAAGCATGATGTCCTGGTGGTCTTATTACAGCAACGCCAGATCGTATTTTACCTCGATGTATATTGTCAGCAAGAGATATAATATAAGAAACTGATTTTAGGACGCATTGTATGGTTTCTGAATTAAAGAACCAATCTGGTTTTTCTTTGACATTCTGTAAACTAAGGACAGTTTTTGCATAGTTTTCTTGGTGGACTTTTCTTATCCATTGATCGGCATCTAATTCATCAAGTTCCTAGAAATATACGAGGTAGAGTATAAACATTTAATCTCTATAATCCTAAATAAATACCTCAATTCTTTTACAACGTCCTAATAGACCAAAATTTTCGAAAGTTTTAATAATTTCTAAAAGCCGTTCGGGTCTCTCCGGGGCATTTGCGTTATCGCCCGTAGGTTTATGTTTAAGAAGACATTCATCATATGTGTAACCGATAATGTTTGGCACATTTCCAGTTTTGATATATTCTACAAAATGATATCAATGTAGCTCAACAAAAAATAAAAATCTATATAAATTATCTATCTTTCGATTAAGGAAACCCTCATTACTTACCATTTCTAAGATCATTCACCATTCCTGAATACTTTTTAACCTCTTCTTCGGTTCTAATAGGATAAAAACCTGTGGTCTCAAAAACGGCAATGTCTTTCGGCACGAATAAATAAGAAATGCAAGTCAAATGCTCACTTTCTTTATCAATATTTAAACAATTTTTTAAATCTATATTCTTTGGATACGAAAATAGAGGTTCCTGTTCGAAACATTTCCAAAATTCCCGCAAAAAATACTTGGTATTGTTGATGACTTCGATGAGACTAGAATTGACTTCAGGTTTTGCAGAAATGGGATGACATGTGTCGCCAAGTAGAGCTTTTAGAGTGCATGCGACACCTTCTGCTAAAGATTCTGGAAAGTATCCACCTTCCAAACATACTACAATTTTACCATTGGCTAGTCCGGATAGAAGTGTTATTAGGTGACCATAAAAGTGAGGAGTGACTAACATTTCTCCCTAAAAACGAATAAGAGTAATAAATGTATTATCTATTATTTAGAGATAGATGTAAACATTTTAGAAGAGACCACTAAACCAGTATGTCATCGACACAAGAAGGTAAAATATAATTGGGAAACATTGTTAATCTCAAAGCATCTAAAATTAAATCCTTACCTTTTCATCTCCCAAACATGAGTCAAAGCCAGCCGACACAATGACTAAATCCGGTTTAAACTACAAAATTTAAAAAAAATATATTTACCTCCGGACATCCCAAAGCAGAATCATAACCAGCAGATATAAGGATTAGGTCAGGTTTAAACTAAAATACAACAAAAGGTTTCTATTAAGCAGAAAGTATTTTTTAATATCGTCATGCATTACCTCATATGCAACAGGTAAAAGAATATTAAGTACAATTGCCATATAATCTGCATCAGTTAAACCAGTTACGTTTAAGGGGATGTTAATATTATAACCATTTCCTTTCCCCTCGCCTATGTGATCAGATTCGCTTTCTCTTAAATTAGGCCAAAAAAGTCCATGTTCATAACGATGAATCGAGAAATACAGTACACTTAAAAAAAAGCATTGGATTAGTAGCAATGAATACTAGAAAACATTTAATAAACTTCATAAACATACTCGTCTCTATCGTAAAACATGCGCTGCGTGCCTTGTCCGTGATGTATGTCGTGGTCAATAATGAGAATTTTCTTGGCTAGGCCCTCGTCGATAGCTACTTGAGCGGCTAATGCAACGTTATTGAAAAAACAGTAACCACAAAACTCATCGACCATCGCGTGATGTCCTGGTGGTCTTATTAAGGCAAATCCATTTTTTAAGTTGCCTTTTGCAACTTCCAACGTCAAAGTTATTGCTGCTTCAGCAGATAATTTGGCGGCGTTGTAAGTGTCCTATTAGAAAAATTAATTGAAAATGCCTATGAAATACATGTGTTATCAATAGGACGAAAACTGATGATTTTGTACAAACAACACAGAAACACATTTTTAATTTGCAATATTACCTGAGTAAAGTACACAGAATCATATTTTGAGGATTCAAACTCGAGTAGTTCGTTTGGAACTTTTTCAATATCTTTTAGTTTATCATAAAGTTTTTGTGTATGCCTTTTTAAAAACACTTCTGTAGGAAATTGTTTGGGAGCAACTTTTACACATCTTTCTCTTAGTTTCAAAGCTGCTAATCTAAAAAATATGTAACATTTAAAAACAATATTTATTACCGGGTGTCCAAATAAGAAAGGAGACCGCCTATCAGCGGCCGTAGGATACAGCCTATATCTCAGAAACTTAGCATCATAGAAGTTTGGGAAAAAAATTTTGAGATATACAAAAATCTATCTATAAGATGTCATAAGAAATGAAGGTCTTATTTTTGACCCGTTTTCGTCAAAAATGAGGATACGATCTATCGATTTTTCGTGATTTTCTTTACACGCCCATATCTAGTCGATATTGAAGTTAGCTCAAAAACCCATACAGATTCGACTCTATATGAACAATAAAATGGCATATTACACGATATTGGTCGATTAAAAATAAGTAAGAGACGGCTGTTTTTCGAAAAACATCCCCTGGTTCATCGAATATCAACACGATATGCATTCTGCCCATGTATAACGTTCTTACACAGAAAAATCACGGTGACATTATTAGTAAGAAACGAACGAGATTTTCGCTACAATTTGGGTAATTATCCCCAATTTTCCCTCATAAATACCCCTAAAAAAATAAAAAAAAATAGGAAATATATTACAATTTTCATATTTTTGACAAAATTTGGCCTTTAAAAAAAATTGTCCATGGGCATAACTACAAAATTTCAACAATTTCTAGGGATCATTTGTATTAAAAAAAAAAATCAATCTGTCATTTATAATTATTTTCGAAGCAAAAACTGTTCATGAACTACAAATAATAACAAAATTCCATATTAGATCTACTGACTTTAATGGTGACACCGTTTCAATAGAATTACTGTTTTTTATTTTTCAAGACATTAGTTTTACCTTCTTTTCGGGCAAGCTACTCTCTCCGGGTTCTCGGGATACAGAGGATCCCAATGGCAGTAATGCTCAGGACTTTCCTCCTCTATATACCCAGTACCCTTTTCTTCATTGTTCTTATATTTATTCACAGCCTCGTAAGGATCCATCAATTCAGATTGATTCGAATTGCTGCAAGTCGCTTGTTTGCGACGTTCAGCAATAATATCTTTTAACTGTAATGAAAACGCTAAATGAACAATATTTACCCGTTGAAATGAAATATATATATTTTAATTTGATTGCTTGTTCACAATTTACTAAAAATAAGTTTTCACAAACTAATAATAATGATGATAATGATTATATTATTAAATGCAATTATATATGACAGAAAAAAGTAAACATAACTAAATAAATAGAAAAGGTAGAATGCAATAACGTTAAATTTACAACTAAATATTTTTATGATACTATTATTTGATTAATGCAACCCATTAAGACCGTGTTAAATATTATGCTGTTTCAAATATTGTTAAAAACATTTCAGCAATGAGATTTAAAAATATGAAGTTTACATTTTGATAAGCAAATTCAAAATATTATGGAGAAACGCCACTGCGATAATTGTTTTTATCAACAAATACATGCAATTTAATATTAACTTCAGTGTTAATGGAGTGACAAGTTAAAATATCTTTTTAACTTCTGTATAAATGAGGAAACATTTATTTTGATTTTTCTATGATTTTTTTGTAGCACCAGCTGAAGCTAAATACATTTATTTATATTCTAAATCGCTAGGAAAAAGGATATTAGGAAAAATTATACTTTTTTCAAGAAAAATAAAAATCATAATAACTACATAACATTAAGAACACTCTTACTCCAGAATTATACACATAAACATTTTCAAATTATCTGTATTATAGACTTCAAAATTACATTTTTAGCAATCTTTTTTTTATTAATTACAAAACTTGGGGGGGGGGTGTCTCCCACTTTCCTCTTATATTGTAATGGAACGTTTTTTTATCTAAAAATTGATAAAGAATATCCTGTGAAAGGTATTGAACATAATTACTTGTTAAGATTTGAAGTAAACCTTTTAGAAAATTGATCAAGTTTCTACTCATGTTTAGATATTATACAGGGTGGCTACGCTCAACGGGACGGAGCTTTATGGGAAAACGACCAAAGATATAAAAAATTCGTTTGGGAGGAATACGTAGGTTACAGACGGCTACAATTTAAAATTTGTTAGATGTATACAGGATGTCCCACATAAGAAAAAAAAAATTAGTTCATTAAAAATTATTCAAACAAGAGTAAACAATTAATTTCTGGGACGTTTTTTCCTTAAAAATTCAAATAAATCTAAAACTAATAATAATAGTAATAGGGAACCTTTAGTTAACTGACATTATTTTTGATGTAGTTTTTAATTCTAAAATAAAAAACAGGGTGTTTCATTAAAAATAATATAACTTTGTATATTTTCTCTTATGTGGGACATCCTGTATACATCTAACAAATTTTAAATTGTAGCCGTCTGTAACCTACGTATTCCTCCCAAACGAATTTTTTATATCTTTGGTCGATTTCCCATAAAGCTCCGTCCCGTTGAGCGTGAGCCACCCTGTATTTATTTATAAAATTATATATTTGGGACTACCCATAGATACACGATGACATCTGGAAACACTTTAACAACACCTCATTTTTATTTGTACATTGAATAAAATGTAATAAATTGAGTATATACAGCATTCATTGCAGAATATGTGGTATTTATTAATACTTACCCAATTCGCCTTTTCAGACATTCAATAAAGAGAAGACAATAGTTTGATACATTTTTATATTTCTAAAAATTCATTAAATCGCAGAGCTATTCATATTAAATTAAGATAATATTTATCACAACTAGGAGCTTATATAGTATTATTTAAACAAGTAAATTAAGATGTAATTATGTGTTGTTAAATGATAAAGAACTAGTTCACGCTGATACAAGGCTATTTAAACATTATATGTATTCATATTGTTAAAAAGACATAAAAAGAATATTTGTCAAGTAGCGCTATAAAAATATATTTTTTTACTGGTTAAATATTTACCTAAACAGAAATTAGAAAAGTCCTAAAATATGTTTACCATTGACTATTTATTATATAAGGTATTTGCAGATTTTGAAGATTGGTAAAATATGTAAAAAATAAGAAATAAATATTAGTAATTTAAAGCTAAATAAATGAGAGGGTGCAATCTAATACAGAGAAAATATTGATCAAAATCATAATTTTATCAAATAAATCTGAGTTGAACTGGTCTTTTACACAGAAATGATGTTAAACAAATATTAGGTGGACGAAATTAAGAGTGTAACAAAATAAATTTGTAATTGGGTAAAATTATAATTTAATTGAATTTACCTTTTGTCGGGAAGGTTTTCCAGAGCTTCTTGAGGGACTTACACACGGTGCATCTAATTTATAACTGAAATTAGAAAAAAATACGAGTATTAGCTGATAAAGAGATAAAAAAATGTATCATTATCTTACTTTTTCTCTTTATCTGCCATTTAACACTTATCGATATTTACTTTAAATTAAAAATATCACAAAAAATTATTAAAATTTCAACAGGTGAAAATTTCGTATTCGTTTATTTACAATTAACATATGACATACCATGTGTTGACATGGAGATATTTATCAAGTTGCCAAGACGTCTACTCTGGCTAGACAGCTAATGGACAGCTACTCCAGCTGAGCTCGGCTATTTTAGCTCTCGTAACTTTTTGATATTTTGAACTACAAAGCACAAGCCAAACGTACCATTTGCGTTGGTTTATTTCAATCGGTGGCGCATAAGTGACAGTTAAACACTAATAAATGACAATTAAAAATAACGTAAAAACTTCACTCCTGCTCCATTCCAAACTAATGAATTACCGAACTCACTATTTGTACCACTTATTCAAACAAAAAAAATGTAGTTTTAAAATCGACTTGCAAATGGATCAAACGATGGTAAGTGTTCTGTGCAAACGATCAAACTAGTCTTGTAAAGCGAAAGTTGCGAAATAAAAGTAGAAATATAGTTATTATTATTATATTTTGTGTTCGGTTTGCAAAAGGATAATATGTTATTTACCAAAGCAAATACATGGAGGAAGGATATGATATAAACCACTGAGCAAATTATTATATTTCGGTTCATTTTCAAGATACACTTCAAAAATCAAATGATTTAAACAATGGCGCCGAGAGATCGACTTTTCATGACAATTGACATTGATTTGGGTACACATGTTCACCAACCTTTAAAATTTGAATAATCTAGCTACTTGTAAAGCTCAGTCTACAAAACGGTGGAAAATTAATTGGCGTTTTTTGTCAAGTTGTTCTTTTTATTGATCATTTGTCAAGTCAAAACTACACTTTTCATTCTTTACTCTTAATTAGATTTTTCAATGATTTAATTTTTAATATGTCTCTATTGTTGTCATTAGCAAGTCCAGATCGCACATAATTCGTGAATCTTGTAATTCACACGGGTGTTTTTGGATACATGTAACCTACCGATACGACAAATTTTATTCCTATAGGACCGATTCCACCGTTGTGTTAAACGAAGTTTAAAATGACATTTTTACATTAACAATGTCATTTTAATCTACATTTACACTAGTTAACGGTCAACCAAGAGCATAAAAAATATCACTTGTGGATTTTCTTGAACAAATATTAAAACTGTGTATATCAATGTTTTATCTTTTTTTTACGAGATACTGGGAAAATTAAAAATAATACGCTCCATCAATTTTAAAATATAAACTAAGATCTCATCCGAATGTGAAGTTTTAAAATGTTCACACCTGCAACCTGCATAACGCGTCCCCTTTTTCCTTAGGGTGCGCATATTTATAAACCGTATTTGGCTGAGTGCTTCCCTTGAACGAAAATAGTATAATAACGGATTTGACAGTCCATCTCTAAATTTCAGTACAACGGTGGAACCACATGGACTTTATTTAGATCATGAATGAAATATGCGGCTGCCTATTTCTTCAGCGATTCAGCGGCAATTAAATGTATCAAATCGGACTGGTGTAAGATTAGCTTTAGATCAGCCAGCCTTCTCGTCTGTCTTTCATCCCGTCGCGCATGCCAATTTAAAGTCTACTATGCTTGTAAGGTGAGGGGGGACCCCTTGTCTTTTTCTCTGGTTTTTGTGGGTGTTCAGAGAAAAAATGTTGTGATTTCTTTAAATTAAAAGTTAGGTAATGGCAAATGTAAACTTTAAATAATATTTCATGTACGTAACACACTAAACTATCAGATATTATACAAGTTAATACCAGTTCACCCATATGACAAAATGTTTATTTACTATTCTCTACTATAACACTCCATTCATTAAGTAGTGTTTATTATTACTCATCCTGATGTAACCTAAAGAGGCTGGATTCATGGAGATAATTGTAATATGTTTGTTTAAATTTTAGTGAGTATTATGTACATGTTTTGAAACATAGCATCCTTTCAGATGATTCCATCAATGAATCCTTATAGAATGATAGTGGAAGAAAAATCAAAAAATGTTTCAAGATTACCATTTAGAACTTATTCTTAGAGGTTGATGTTTTGACATTAAAATCTCAAAATAATAATAATCTTTTCATCATGGATATGGGGGTAAGAAAATTGCCTAAAAAAAGGAAATTTGACCCCTCTGAACTGGAGGAAAGTAATCCACAAGCAGCTTGTATCCCAGTGTCTGTTGTTCAATGTGCAAGTGTAATGTCAGCCCCCCAAGCTACTGCTGTAGATTACTCTTTTCCTACCAGGGCTTCGACCCATGAGGAAATACATATACAAAGTAATTGTAAACAAAATGTCATTGATCTCAGTGAATGGTGTAATCACAGAATCTTAGCTAGACAAGGGGACTGGTATTATCCCGGTGTTATCAGGGAAGCCCATGGTTCTACTGTAAGTACACCTTTTATATATTATTTATATCATTGATTGATTTTGAAATATCTACCTCATTTATAGTTTTCAATCAGACAAGTTAAGTATTTAAATATATACTGTTACAATTATTAGTGTTTAATAGTTTCCCATTTATAAACCAAAAAAAAATACAATATACCTAATTATACGTATATAAACCAATGTAAACAACAGAAAATATTAAAAATATGTAAGAGTTTGGTAGAATTACTTTACAAGGAGTTGATGAATGATGAATACGACATTGAATTAGTGTGAGTTCTATTACATAAAAAAATGTCAATGTTTAAATAAGTAGTTATATGTAGATCAATGTTTGAAAGTACCTACTACATATTACTAAATTTTACTATATAACGATTCATTAAAAAAATAGAAGTAAAATGCATAGGATTTCTTTTTTTATCACACTGTAAATTTTTCAGATAACTAGGTACCTAGTTATAGTTATGATTGTTGTTTTACCAAGCATTGATTTTTTTAAATAAAAATATTTTAATTTAAATGACCTGTTACAATCTAGTAATCACATACATTATTACTAATGAGTTAAAACAATTATATACCTAAATTACACCCTTGAGGGGCATGAATAGGACACAGTTGATGTGATTTAGGTAAAATTTTAGTTATTGAAAATATGTAGGTATTATTAATTATTACAGTCTAAGCTTTGGCTCTTTTGTAAGAAAGTGTCTATTTTGTTTTTCCATCTTCTGTGTGTCTATTTTGTTTTTCATGTTCTTTATTTTACAAAAAAATGTAAAGAATATCTTTATAGTTGTCAATACTTAAAATCTAACCATTTAAACTTTTTAACCAATTGGAAATAGGTAATCATGGGACATGGGATGGAAAGTGTTGAAATTTTCAACTTTTAATTGCTGTGAGATTGTAGAACATTCTTTCAATTTTGCTTAGGAATACAATTATTAATAACTAAATTGATTGGCCACCACTTTAAAACAACTCAAACTAAAAGATAACAAATCAAGATACCTTGATAAAATATTTCTTTTAATTTCTATTTGATTTTTGAATGAATTTTAAGTCTTAAAAATGGTGGAAGACGGTGCCCAATGTAAAGTAAATTTATGTGTAAAACCCCACTACATTAAGTAATTAGACATAATTACAAATGATTTCAACATATGGCTAGCTTATCAAATCTTTGACTTAATCTTAAACTAAAAATAGAATAATGGAAAATATCTACTTTTAAATTATTTATAGCTTTTGATGCTCTATTGCTATTGGTATCGAATATAGTTTGAATTACAGCACTTTTTTTTTTAAATTACCAAATGGAATATATCGCTAGAAATTTCCCCATAAAAATACTTTGTAGATAATGAAACCTTTAGGAACATAAATTTACATTACTATATTTAACATTAAAAAGTTTGTTGTTCAAGTTTTAAAAAAAAAATATCTATATAACTATTACTTAAATATGCTTTCCCAGCTTGTAGATTTATGTAATTGAATTTTTATAGCATCTTTTTTATGTTGCAGTTTTTTAATAAAAAACTCGTTTTATTTATCTATGTAGTTATAAAAATGAGCAACAGTTCGTTAACAAATACTATAAATATATATATTGTTAGTTAAATAGAGTAGGTATAGACATGCATTCAATTATGATTAAACAAAAAACAATAATTGTTCAATTTAGTAAAAAAAATAAGATATTACTAATAATGTGTATTAGGTGCTTCCTATACCTCAAGAGTTCATTTTTTACTACAGAAATGATTCCCCATTACTATTAAATGGTGTTTGGCAGTGGAGGTTACTAAAATACAGGGCATATCAAGAAATAAAAAAAAGAATGAGTTTTAAATAAAAAAGTAAACTCCAAATTACTAATAATGATTCTATGAAACCAATGATGATATTTTTCTTTTACTTGGACTTCCCAATCTTAAAAGAGTACTAAAGCTAAATCGCTACTTGAAGGAGAAAGCAAGAAATAATCATAATTAATCCATAAGTTCTGGTACAGTTAAAATGATAATAAAAATAAAATAGAAGGGGATGGGGTGGCTCAGTGGTTAGTGTCTGGATTTCCAGATGCAAGGGTCTTAAGTTCGATGCACTGATCCCACTTGACTATTCACTATTGGATTCTAATTAACAGAGCTCATTCTAAAGTGGCGCTGTGAAACAGTAACACTAAATAAAATAAAAAACGAAACTGCGTGTTTTTATTAAAATATGATTTTTTTTAAACTGTATTAGCACAAATCAACTTTAATAAATTCAGTTTAAAAAAAAAATAACAATTCATAAAAATGAAACAGACTAATACAATCAAAATATTAGAAATAGTTAGAATTTATATCAATTTAAAAAAGAATTAAATATATTAAAATTAAAAATAAATGATAAAAAATTCCTGGTTAAAGTTAATAATCACGTAAAGGAAATTATTATAGGACCCCTTTTGTTAATAGGGATGCTAGCCAAAGATTTGTAACAAGTATGGCACCAAAAATTTACAACTCTCTTCTCTTGCAAGTCAAAAATATCAAGACCATCAAACATTTTTTGAGAGAATGTAAAAAGTTTCTTGGAAGTAATTACGATTTGTTCATGACAATATTATAACTGTTGTCTTCTGTCGTGTCTCAAAATCATCTCCATCGCTTTAGATACCTAATATATTTTATGTGTTGCGTAATTTTATATATGTTGTTATATTTTGCAGTTTTTAATGTGTTTTGAATGTGACTAGGATATGTTTATGTTAATGTTATTAAAATACCATATACAGCTTTGTACTCTTGTTACTGTTATTCAAATTAATGTATAAATGTATGTATATTGTATAAATATACATATAAGATAATTTTATTTTTTTTTTATTTTATTTATTTACGTAAAATCTTGTCTTTAGCACATACCGGTGCTTGCACCGAAGTGCTTCATTTTAATTTCAGTTTACTTATATTTTAATTTAACATGAAAAAATGTGAATGTGAATTTTATAATGAAATAAATAAATAAATCATATAATGTTTATCTAGAGCTACTACATAATATGTATATTTTATATTTATGTTTCACTTTAGCAGTAAGTTTTAAATTGTAAACAATTATATTTTTATTATTGTTTTGTTTTATATTAGGATATATTCCTACTAGTAAAGATTTATTCAATTATTATAAAAAAAAGTTACTAAACATCTGAACAATGTTTTATATATCTTCTTGTTCAGATTGAATAATATTTTGCTCCGTTTCAACACAGTTTACACATATTTGCTTCAAGTGTTTTCAAGTGTTCAAATTAGTATACTGTCACATAAGAACATTTGTGGATTACACTCAGACTATAACGCAGAGTGATTTTACAACACAGTTACGTATCTGCTCATTGCCATGACATATAGCCAAAATCCACGCTACATTATGACATGCGCGAACTCTACAAGGTTTCGTCTGCTAAGTATTATACCTCTGAAATTGTTTATATCATGGATTGTACTTGTAACATTAACAAATATGTCCTACATCTAAACGCGACGAGTAGCAGTCACATACTAAAACTGTCAATTAGACCACCAAAAGGTAAGATATTAGGAAATTTAGTGGAATACATATATAATGCAGGATTAAATAAAAAATCTGAACAATGTTTTATATATCTTCTTGTTCAGATTGAATAATATTTTGCTCTGTTTCAACACAGTTTACACATATTTGCTTCAAGTGTTTTCAAGTGTTCAAATTAGTATACTGTCACATAAGTACATTTGTGGATTACACTCAGACTATAACGCAGAGTGATTTTACATCACAGTTACGTATCTGCTCATTGCCATGACATATAGCCATAATCCACGCTACATTACGACATGCGCGAACTCTACAAGGTTTCGTCTGCTAAGTATTATACCTCTGAAATTGTTTATATCATGGATTGTACTTGTAACATTAACAAATATAAGTCCTACATCTAAACGCGACGAGTAGCAGTCACATACTAAAACTGTCAATTAGACCACCAAAAGGTAAGATATTAGGAAATTTAGTGGAATACATATATAATGCAGGATTAAATAAAAAATCTGAACAATGTTTTATATATCTTCTTGTTCAGATTGAATAATATTTTGCTCTGTTTCAACACAGTTTACACATATTTGCATCAAGAGTTTTCAAGTGTTCAAATTAGTATACTTTCACATAAGTACATTTGTGGATTACACTCAGACTATAACGCAGAGTGATTTTACATCACAGTTACGTATCTGCTCATTGCCATGACATATAGCCATAATCCACGCTACATTACGACATGCGCGAACTCTACAAGGTTTCGTCTGCTAAGTATTATACCTCTGAAATTGTTTATATCATGGATTGTACTTGTAACATTAACAAATATAAGTCCTACATCTAAACGCGACGAGTAGCAGTCACATACTAAAACTGTCAATTAGACCACCAAAAGGTAAAATATTAGGAAATTTAGTGGAATACATATATAATGCAGGATTAAATAAAAAATCTACATTAGACATTTAAAAGTTTCAAAATTACGCAACACATAAATAAATAACAAATGCAAATCGTTGTCATGGTAACCTAATTAATCACTTTTTATCCACTTGCATTTATCATTAAACATCAGGAGCATAACAGAAAGTAGGTAACAATGATAATTTTTCAGATAACAGTTGCTTTAGATGGAAATGAAGAAAGAATTACATATGATAATGTATTCGATAATGAATGTTTTAACGTGATAAGTGATGCGAGTCCCTCTATAAACCAAATAACACTAGGCACTAGAGTGTGTGTACGTAACAACCAGAGTATGTTTGTGGAAGGTGTAGTCTGTAGCATTTTGGAAGGGCAACCAGTACGGTTTGTAGTAGCAGTTATCGGCGAAAAATCTATAGAATTAACTGTAAAAAGAGCTGACTTAAGATTACTTCGTCCACCCTGGTGGGACGAATTAGAAAATATAGAACCTAATATCGAAAATGTAATGCAACCAACTCTGGAGTTTTATAGAACCAACCAAGCTTCTCCCACACAATTACATACACCCATATCAGTTGGCACTCCATTGTCTAACGGTAGGCATTACGACGAATTCTGTGAAAGTGAGGACGAGCTAAGGCAAGATGCTTTTAACTCCGAAGTTAATGCTAAACTCTCTGGTAGTAGTAAACGAAGTAGTATGCATAGCAGAAGCAGTTCTTCTAGCAGCATAACGCCGCGTTCTCAACCGACTACGCCTAGAAGCCAAGCGGCTACACCTCACAAGTATAAGAAGGGAGACGTCGTCTCCAATCCGAACGGGATTAGGAAGAAATTCAATGGGAAACAGTGGAGGCGGTTGTGTTCTGTGGACGGGTGCAAGAAGGAGAGCCAGCGCAGGGGTTACTGTTCCAGACATCTCAGTTTAAAAGGTAATAGTCTTCGTAGTGGGAATTTTGCTAGATCTAATAGTAAAGGGGATGGTGAAGATACTTCTAGGGATTCTGAGACATCGCCGAATTGTGGAGACCGTCGGATGACTGGAAGGTTCGATCAGGAGGAGACTGAGGCTGCTAATATGTTAGGTAAGCCAAACATTTTACTTGCTTCTTTATTTTCAAAACAATTAATGGATCTTGGTTTTACCTCGCCAATAATTAAAAACGGGTATATAGATTAAGGCAGTGTTTTACAACCTGTGGACCGCGGTCGGGTGGCGGTTGCAAGCCAGGTAAAAGTGAAAATCAAGGGTCGTAGGTCCTACACTGCAATACAATAAGTTCCATGAGATGGCTGTACCTGTTTATTACTAATAATCTGTCTAATCATGGTTTTATTAGGCATTCCAATGACCTGTTAAAACTGCTGCCTGTTTGCTTTGATCAATAATTATTAATCAGAATCGGTTTAGCAAAAATGTGTCTTAAAATCAAATTTCAGCCTTTGAATATAATAAAAAAAATATTTATCTACACTTTTACTTCAAAGCATGAGTTTATGTTTATTTTGAAAAACATGGATGATCAATCTATATAACTTTATATTTCATTGGCGCTGTCAAATCCATCAGGCCCACAAGCAACTATTTTGTTTGGAATGTCTAATTTTTAAGACACAAATATCCAAATAATTATCTAATTGGAACATATTTCTCTTCCTAGTTTTTAAGTTCACTATTGAAGAGAACGTAGGAAGTGGCGAACGGCGCTAATAATTTTTAACCTTCCCTTCTGGATATTCTTATTTTCTCTTCATCCAGAAGACATCATTCTTTTGCGAATTAAATTTCATTTTAGGAATACCGTCATTTAGTATCGATGTATGTCTATGGTCAGCTCTATAGTCCTCAACAAACTTGTACAACGCACTTAATTTAGCGATCAGTCTCAATAGAAAGAAAATTAAATATATCTTTAAAATCACTAACATAATTTTAAGGAAGTGGGGATCGCAAGATTTTCATTACTTGTAAAGGGGTCGTATACTCAAGAAGGTTGAAAAACACTTTAAACATACATTCTGCTGGATATTCTTTAGTTATATAATCAAAAATGTAAATGCCAAGATCTATCTATCAAACTAATTACTTTTTCTTCTGCTGCCATTAACTATAGTCCATCTTACAGGTAATGGAAAAATTCTAATATAAAATGCCATTTAATTATGGAAATAATTAATTAATAATATGCTATGTTTCGGTTATTTCATTGAAACAACTGCATCATGTATGATGTCCCAAAAAGTATACAATTTGAGAAAAAGATTATCTTACATTTTAGAAAAAAAAATTATTCGTGATAAAAAATTCTGCATCACTTAGAAATGCATAATTTATTATCAGATTTTATAACATAAGTGGTATACAGGGAAAATAAAAATAATGATTTATAATGAAGAGTAAAATATTTTGATATTTGAAATTAAAAATGTTGATAGGAATAAAAAAATTGCTCAGATTTAAATCGTTGCACTTCTTTCAAGTGATTTCGATTTACTTTATTCAATAAATAATCCAAAACCAATTCTAAAGTGTTTATTGGAAATTTAATGTTTAATTATGGCTATGCAGTGATGCAGAACTGTTTACTAAGAATAGACGCGATAAAAAACAAGAGTAACTTCTTACTGTTAAAAAAAAAACACAAAAGGATTCAAATATATATTGTTTCTACCTAAATATATTCCTTTTAATGTTAGGTGTTTCTTTTTTATTTTTACTGAAACAACCTTTAAGGTTTGTTTAATTTTGTTTATGACCACTAGAAAAAATAACTGAGGAAAACATCTTTTAGATGCCGTTATAATTATTTACTAGTGGTCTTTTATTTATAATGGCCTTGTTAATCACCACAATTTCCATTATTATAACAATGAAAATATTATTTCAATTTGATGATAGCCAGAATCGCTGGAATGTTAATGTGTATGGAGGAATTATATATTATCGGCAAGCAAGTAAATTGGTTCTAATTTTTTTATGGCCATTTAAGAGATAACATTTTTGTGATTTTTGATAAAGGACTTTTGCGTTCTTCTAGACATTATTCCTTTAAATTAAGAAACAAGTCTAGCTTCAGTTATACTCAAATCCGCCACATCTCCGGGGTTGGCTTCAATGGAATTTACCTACAACTTCCGACGGTAAAAAATAAACTGTTAAGAGAATTATTACACTCAGGATTCAGGATGATGATCGCGATATTGAAACGATTATATTTTTACTGTTTTGGTATTTTTTACTTCTCATGTTTTTGATGTTTCATAGAAAATTTGCTGTATAACGGGTGTCCCAAAAGTTTTGGGAAAAAGTTTGTGCTCTGCGGAGTATTAAATCAAATTTATCTAGTTAGCCATGGTAATAAACGTTGCCCTGGGTTTTGTTTACTTGGTTGACAGCTCAGTTGCTATCTGTCTGTAGGCATAATGGCGTACAAAATTGAGATTCGAAAATCTATTTATAACTTTGTTGACAGAATGCCAAAAAATATATCGTTAATATTTTCCGGAATCAAAATATATCTAAAACAACTATTTACCGAACAATTCAAGAATGCGAACAAGGAATACCTTGTCTCAACTTGCCGAAAAGTGGCAGACCGGCAACGCTTACCGATGTCAAGGTGAACAGGATGGTCGAACTTGCAAAGGATACCATTGGAGTGTCAACTCGAAAGCTTTCTTAACGATTTTAGGTATCAAAATCGACAGTTTCTATATATATTGCAAAAAAAGGCTTAAATTATAGAAAACTGACAAAATGTCCAAAGTATAAAGAGGCCCAACTTCGAAGGATTCCTTATTGTTGCCGCTTGTTACGTCTTCGTCATTTTGTGAACAACAGAAAGATTATACTGGATGACGAAAAATATTTTACATTTTCGCATGCCGACCTACCAGAAAACTCAGGTTTTTATACAGATAACATTGAAAATACCCCCGAAAATGTAAATTACAAACCAAAGGCCAAGTTTGCGGAAAAACTGTTAGTCTGGATTGCATTACGGAAAATGGTTTGTCCAGGCCCTATGTAGTAAGGCTGGTAACCATGACCGGTTAACCGGTTCCGAAGACCAAAAAACCGTTAAAGAACGTAACATGTTTAATCGGAACCGGTTTAACCGTAACCAGTTTAACCGCAATCGGTTTAACCATAACTGGTTTAACCGGAACCGGTTTATAACCGTATTTATGTGTACCAGCCACATCAACGTTTTTTCCAGTGCAGGAAACATAGTTTCGGCGAAAAAAACTGCTTGCTACCGGAAAACGTTGATAAGTTGATTTTTTGCATCAAAATTAAATAATAAAAAAATAGGCAGTTTTGTTATTAGGTATTTATTATTTCTTATTTTATGTCCTAATTAATTATAATTTATTTTTGAATGTTTTTTTTTACTTGAATATAGTTTATATTTTTGTTTTTTAGTTTTACCTACTTACCCATCCAGTGGGCAGTGAAAGACTGTGTCCTTTTTTAAATTTTAAATAAAGTTTAGCAAAAGTAAAATTGGTAGTATTTCTATTATTCTAATTTAATTTTTATTAACGAGTGCCTATTTTAAAAAAATCAAGCATGCACTACCTGGTCCTCACGGGTAAGGAAAGGTGAAATAGTTAGTAAAGTGACCCCATTTCTATTGAAACCAAAGGATTTGGTGGATGTGTTTTGCCACGATTAAGTCGGCGATGGTTACAGTTAAACCAGTGATGGGTTTAACTGGTCACGGTTACGGTTAAACCGCCGAATCCGGTCTAACCGGTCCGTTTCGACTGGCTCGGTTTGATTGGACCGGTTAACCGGATATCCGGACCGGTTATAATAATAGTAAAAATCCGGTTAAAACCGAAACCGGTCAAAATCAGTCGAACCGGTTAACCGTTTATCATGTCAGAAATTGACAGCCTTACTATGTAGGACGTGTTAGAGGCCCTGAAGTGGATCAAAATACTTACATTCAAAATTGTCTTCCGAAATTGGTAAATTTTATTAGAGAACATCATGCCAACGACAATATCATGTTTTGGCCGGACTTGGCGTCGGCTCATTATGCTAGAGCCACATGCGAATGATTAGAAGCTCAAAATGTGCCATTTGTGCCTAAGCAGGACAACCCCCTGAACGTTCCCCAAGCAAGACCAATAGAGACATTTTGGGCAAGATTGTCAAGCAAAGTTTATGAAAATGGCTGGGAAAAGGCTGCGGCGTAGGCCATTCCAAAAAAATTAGGGAGTTTGATGTTGAAGAGTGCCAAACCCTAATGAGACGCGTCAGGACAAAACTGCGCCATATCGAAGAAAATGGACCCCTAGCGGTGCTGTAGTACTTTTTATTTATTGTTAAGGAACCACTTTGTACGTAGTATTATGAGGGATAAATAAATTTTTAAAATATTTTTTTTATGTCTTTAATTTTTTTCCCCAAAACTTTTGGGACACCCGTTACAATAAAAATTTTACACTTTTATCTCGTCTTTTATTACTTGTCGATTTTTAGTATATTTAATAAAACAACTTGTTTAATAATTACAAAAGGAATATATTTAGGTACATGGAACTTAGATTCGGGTTTAAAATCAAATTGCCGTCTTACAAAATACAGGATGTTCCATTTGTTTATGTAATTTGAAGTTGGTGTATATTGAATTAATAAAAGCTTAAATACATCAAGGATATAGTTTCGAACCACATCTTTATAATTATAGGTAACTAAATAGATAAAATGTTTTTAAAAACGTTTTTAACAATGTTAAGAATAATAATTTAATAAAAGATACCAGATATCATAAAAACCCACGTTTTCCTAATATAAACCAGTAATATTATTAATCAGCTACTTTTATTATTATTTTTTCTGAATCATTCCACTGCTACTTAAAGAAGTTTTATTTCAATATATTATAAATTCTTTAAATAACAAATAATACAAACATCACGTCTACATCGAGCATGTCCAGTACCTGTTGTCTGTTGAGTAAATACAATTTAAATACATAGGCGTCCATACCAAGAGCGATTAGAATTTAATTAGCTACCTTTGAGACGTGGGAATTGTTTTTAAAAAGTTGAGCTACCGTAGAAGTGATATTTATTAAAATGAAGCATGATTAGTTATAGAAACATGCTACATTTTCTATTAAATTTAATTTTTGATCCAATCCTTTTGCATATTAATTTCTACGACGCCCTAGAGTAATAGTAAAATTTGCTGATTTTTCAAACCACTTTTTAGTTTCATCCCTCTTATATTTAATTCCTATTGAATCCAGATTAATTCCAGATTTAGTAATTAATGTTTTCTTAAAATAAAAAAGTAGGTAACTGATCTAAACAATAAAAAACAATTTTTTCTGAATATCAGATATCAAAATAACCGAATTTTACTTATTTTGCATAGTTTCCAAATCTATTTTTTAATATTGTAATATTTAGATGCGACCTTGTGTCAGCTTTCTGTAAACGTTCAAAGTATTTCATAATATAGTCACTACAGGTTCTACAAAATTCTAAATAAAAAAATCCAGACCTTTATTGTTTCTTTAAAAACTAATTCACTTTTTAACATGATCATTTCAAGTACAACACCACTGAAAAAATGAGATTGCTTTTAAAGATTAAACTGCTATTCGTGAACAATAATTCATCTTTTCGTGATTTTCCCGACAAAATAACATTTTTTTCATTTTCTAAATGATAATTCTAAAATTCCGCTTGATGAATAACTCACTAAGGGCATGCAAACATTGAACTGTGTGATTGTGATTGTTGTCATACTATTTTTCAAAGCTGTCCATTGATCAAAAACGGGTAAATATCAAAGTAATGAATGGTAAAACATTTCTCTAAGGCTAGAATACATAATTTTCTCAATCATTGTTGATTATTTGATAATTTTCATAACACAAAGCAATCATTTCCGTATCGGATCCTTATCTGATAACACAAAGTAGTCATTCCTTAATTACTGTAATAAAATCATGTGTGCTATAAAATATCAAACATCAAATAATTTTATGTAATAGTCACAGAAAAAGTATAGTGTTCAACTCGCAAGGAATGCTCATTTCATACTCATTGAACAATATACTATTCTGTGTTGTAACTTTTCATTCATAAAGTTAAATAAGACCATGTAAAATTTGGTGGTTTTTAAGAGCACCTTACTAGATATGCCCATGATAGGAATAGTGTGACTTTAGTAAAATGTTAATAAGTTACAGGGTGTTGTCGTTATTTAAGTAATTTCATCAACCTGTAAGTTTATAATTATCAATAAGTTAGTAAAATCCCTTTCTAGATCCTTTATTTTCCAGGTGGTGCACTTACCATGCTGTCTATTCTACTTCCTTGATTATTTATTCCTACTTTAAAAAACATTAAGGAAATATAATTAATAATACATTTTATTGACCTTATATTACAAACTATACCAAGTAAACAAAACATACAAAAGGTCAAAAGAACGTTTGATCAGTTCAAAATTGTACTTCCTTAAAAGCCTGCTTGAAAGTAAAAAGGAAAATAGAAATACATAAACGAATGAATAAGAAAAAACAATTAGAACAAAACAATTATTTTACATTTATGAGTTAGCAGTTGGAAGAATCAGAAAAAATAACACATTGGTCGTTAAAGATTAGCTTAGTTATATAATTTTATAAACATGGCAAGAGCATTTTTTGTTTCCAAGATATCTATGAGATTCTTTCTATGTACACGTGTTGTGAATATCGGACCCAAATTTAACAGGTTCAATGTCCACGTCCAGTTTACTGCCTCCAGTTTACTGCCTCCAGTTAATTTGACACCCGTTAAATATTAAATATACGTGTCCCTATAAACGGTGGTCTATTGCGATATATCTTAGATTTTGAACCAGGAGAAATATTTGTCCTAAAAAATGTTTTACTCATCTCAAATTGTTGGCTTTTTTTTACTTAACTGGACCCTGATGTTTGTTATGAATGTGGAAAAAATATACCGGCGTCCAGTTAACTAAAGTGCGTTTAGAAACCTCGCACCGCGCGTCTGACCACATACATTAGAATAGGGTCCAGATGCGCCGTGCGAGGTTTCTAAACGCTCTCCTGGACAGTGGTTAAAAGATGTCAGTGCGACAGATATCTTCTAAATATATCCCAACTAAGGCTATATTTTATAATTTTATTATAAAAATGTTTCTGTATTCGTGATAACTACAGGCGCCTCTGAATTAAATCCAAACTGACACTTAAGATTGTAAAAATTTTCAAGGACTAAGTTATAAACATTTTTTATGGTTCACTTCATATATAGCCGCGATGTTTTATATAGTAGTTTAGTTTTTCTATCTTTCCTGAAATTATAGTACAATAATGAATTTGAATTTATCCAGTATCACTAGGTAGTTCACGTTCAGCGACTCCAGCGTTTTCCCCCAATGGTCAAGGATCATCGCCTCACACGATGCAGTCTCCAATAACCGTAGGCCCCAGACAAAATGTTTTCATGCCTATTCCCAGCAACCATTCGTTACAGAAACGGGCATCTCCCATAGCTCAAGGATACAATTCTTCATATCAGCAGCAGGTTATAAGGTAGGATTACTATGAACAACTTTCTAAGTTAAACAAGCACTACCTAGACAGCTCTGCCCCTATGCATGTCAGAACTTAGGTTTCTTTAACTGTGTAGTATGTACTTAAATAGTATTGACAAGAAAGTATAAATAGAAACTAAACAGATTATTTAATTTCTTTATGCTCAGGATTAATACCAGAATCAAATTACTATCTAAAAACAAAATAATAGATGAGAAAAGAAAAACACAATGATTTACCAACACCATAAAGGAAAGTATCCATATTTTTTCTTTAGCCCAGGTAATTTAATAATTTCATGTTGTTTAGTTTGATTATATTTTTAATTTCCAGTGGGATGAAGTTATATAACTTAGGGCAAAAAATAAGAATGTCCTTTGTGTGATTTTTTACATTTGTTGTGGTAATACTGTTTTAAACAATATGCAATTCTCACTGTCACCATGGATTTAAAAAGAAACTGAACTGCATATAAAATAAAATATATAAGTGGACTAGAATATGGTTTAGAATCTACTAATTTGATAGTATTTAAAAAAATATTTAATGTTAACCTTTGCTACATTCGCGAATGTAGATTATTTTATTTGGTATATATTTCATCCCAAAATATAAAGAGAACAGAAAATGATTTGCTAAATTGTATAAAAAATTTGTATATCCTTTGTAACTGATAGCCGCTAATCAATTATTTTACATTGTTTATAATATAATCTTATGCTTCTGGATTTAGAACATTATAAACAAAATTTGTAGACTAAATAATAACTAACATAAGATTTTTTTGAAATATTATATCTTTACGCTTTATGAATGGTTTATTTTTGTTATGCCTGAACTTTAAGTCTCTTAACAAATGGTAAACCTTTTCACAGGCATTTCTTTACTAGGTAATATGTATAATTCTAAAAACATATAAAAAAGTTGATAATTCTCTCTCAATACACAACACGACAGATTGGGCCATGACGGTCGCAGGCATCGTCCAATACATATTCCCAATATTTCCGGGGTCTACACTGACCTTTTTCTGTGCATTCAACTGGTTAGTGTTTTTTTTTGCAACCTTGAGAATTGCAGATATTCTTTTTCTTAAGAGAATCTACAATTTCGGCATTCCACTTGTATTTGCCTTAATTTTCTTGTGTTGCTTTGTACTTGTGTTTTCAGATTTCGTTAAAAAAAATTCAATTTCATTTTTCATCTCCTTAGTGACGCGATTTCTAAAAATAATTTCCCATTTACTTCCTTTTTTTATGTATGGATACTATAAAAATAAACAGTTTGAGAATTTAAAATCAGGAAATTATTATTATAGTTCCGAAATTTGCAGGCCAGAGGCTCGAGCAGTACAAAGTGGTACCAGCGTTATACGAGTTTCACCTAATCCAAGGCAATGGTCAAATATGCCTGAACAGCAAAGTGTTATATTGCAGCACGCCCTAACTAGTCCGCCAAATCAAATTATAGAACCCGAAAGCAATCCTTTACCTCCTACAAGTAATGACTTCCCATACAGTAAGTAAAAGAACTTTTTAATTAAGATGTATTTATTGGAAATCAAATATTCAGAATCATTTATTTTCAGGTACACTTTATTGTGTGGTTCCGCCAACACATGAAAAGAGTATTATGATTGTTAAAAATGAAATAGATAATGAAAATAAGGAACCAAAGTCATTTCCACGACAGGTAAGATTGCAATTTATACTGCATACTTCTCAAAGGTTGTATTTAAAGATTGATGATAATTTAACTCTACACAGTTGAATTAAAAGCATTGATGATTGCTCTAAACAGCGTTTGAAAGGACTCTAGCAGCTTCAGCCGAAGATATAATAAATTCCAGGGTCAACTTGTTATCGTACTTAATACTTTAAGAAGAGAGTCTCAATAAAAATATATGTACGGGGATTTGTCAAGAGGTTTTATTTCATGAAGAATTTGTAAATTTCAAATTTGTAGATACTATACTTTTTAGTTTATCCTCGATGAATCCAAAATCAAGTTAAATTAAAAATTGCAATTTTTCTATTTTGAACTAGAAATTAAGCAAAAACAGCGAAGTGGTAATGTTACATTTTTTTTTGTGGGCTGTGAACAGGAAGAATTTTGTTAGTGTCAGTATTACTATACAGTGTGAGCGATGTTTGACTTTCATAGCCACCCTGGATTTAAATAGAAACTGAACTAAATTTAAAATATTTTATAAACAATGTAAATAGAATATTTTACATTTTGAAACTTAAACGATTTTTTAAATGATAATGAAATACACATTCATTACATATATTTTCTTTCAGTAATGAAATTGCCAGTTAAATTATCATCATATACGTTCTTACTTTGTACACCTAGTGCAGCAGTGTAATTAAAGCGTTTTATTTTAGGTAATACAGAGTGACCATTTACACCCTACTCAATTAATACGTGTTACATCAAATAACGGTATAAACAGTATAAATAGCCTGAATAATAACATTCACTCACATTCCAATGGTCCTGGATTGATGCAATCAACTCCGATCAGCACTGGTTTGCCAGTAATTGTTAATCCAACACAGTTGGTACCAGTGCTGCCATCTCAGTCTCAATCCGTTGTCAAAAGAGTTATTCCCACTGCCACTATTCAACAAAATCCACCGCCTGTGATCGTTAAAACTGAACAAGGTGAGGATTTATAGATTGTTCTGTATACATTCAATAGATTTGTTACATTTAAAATCGTAAGTAAAAAGTAATAATGTTATTAATAGGTTTGTTCCAACTAAATTTCAGAACTTTGCAAGGTTGTGCATTAGGGTGGAACGAAAATTAACGATAATTAAAAAAAATGAATAGCGTCGTGCCATTTAAAAAAATATAATATATAAAAATATAATAATATAAAATATAAAAACAAGTATACTAAAAATAAAACTGGTGTCTTTATATCTTGAGGTTCCTCAAAGGGACGTCATATTTAATAAAATAAGAACTCAGTGTTTTAACCAATTTTTATTAATTTTTTATTTTTGTGACAAATCATGTCATACATTTTAGTATGCTGCTTAAGGTTGTAGGAAACTACATTCTAAATTTCAAAACGAAATTTTAATATTAACATTTATTTTCCGAAAACTTGAGGACCATATCTTAGTAACGGAAGAAGACATCATTTTTTCTAATGTAGTAGGATTTTCAACTAGTTCTATAATCGTTTTAACACTACTCGAGTCGATTATAGAACTATATATTCTAAGCAGTTCTGAATCATGAACTTTCTAATGAACAAACCTAATCTTGAAGCGGTATCACTGGATGTTATTTTTCATATAGCTTTATCAAATTCTCATTGTATTAATAACGACAAATTTTATTTATCTTAGATGTTAATAAAGAAGAAAAATAGATTTGTTCGCAGAGTCTTAACAATAAAATATTTTCAGTTTCACCAAATGCAACAAATCACCTGAAGGACCCTTTAGTACTACACAATCCAGTTCAGCTGCAAACCCATCAACGAATCACCACAGTCTCTCAAATTCCGATATCACAAATAAGCCAGCCGCAAAACAGACAGCCGGTCAACATCAATCCGAATCCGCCTATTAAAGTCCAAAGCAATACGTTGAGTAATCAGTCTGCATTTGTGATTCCATGGCATTCGATAGTACCACTTTTGACCGCATCGTCGGGACCAACTTCTCCACCTATCTCACAATTGTCGCCTCCTTTGTCGGCGCCACCGGTGAACATTAATAGTGGACCAATAATTGGAGATTGTCATGACGATGATGTTGATGTCGAACCCATGCCGACTCCTACTGAAGAGGACGACGATGTCTTCGAAACTGAACCAAGCGATCTCAATGTCGATGGAAATATCAACAGCAAGAGAAGGAGTCATTCGTTGAGCTCGTTGCAGAGTAATGCTAAGGAAACTGGCAAGGTAAGTTGTTTGCAAATAAATAATGTACTTGTATTTCTAGATAGAGGAAGTTCTTATTTCATATAGTTCTTTTTTGATTTTCCTCTTTATTTCATTCCAAGTTGAACATTTCAGTAAAATCATGAATTGTACAGTAATTTGGAAAAACATTTTCATTACATGCTTATTATACTTTGACTTTTATTTCCAAGAATAACCGCATACGAAGACCAATGAATGCCTTCATGATATTCTCAAAAAGACATAGGGGACTCGTGCATCAGAGGCATCCTAATCAAGACAATCGCACCGTTTCTAAAATCTTAGGAGAATGGTGGTACGCTTTGGGTCCAAATGAAAAAAAGCAATATCATGAATTGGCATTGGAGGTCAAGGAGGCCCATTTTAAAGCCCACCCAGAATGGAAATGGTAAGTGTACTGATCGTTAAGTTTGTATAGTTGATTTACCAATTATTGTGTACAGCATCAATTTTCTGAACTGGAATTTAACTAAAAAAGTATAATTAGTAGATATCAATATTGAGGAAAAATATTATTTGTCAAAACTTAGGTACACTTTAACAAAAGTTTTGGCAAAATTTAAAAGATAAAAATCGTAGAGATGCTTTCTTACAAGGGATCTACGGGATTAAAATCACCTCCACGCAAATTGATAGTGTTCCAGGTTTGTTAAATCACGAAAGATAGGTGATTATCACAGAGATGTATGCAGATATATTTTAAACATGGTTTTAATCTACGCGTTCACATTTAGAACCAGGTTCAGTCATTGTATTAGATAACGTTTCATATCATAGTCGTTGCTTATAAAAACGAGGAAATCTAAAATATTCGATTTTGCTTGAAAACGAGAAATATATATTGACAGACGTAAAAATACTTTTAAACACTACAGTAAGTGCTGTTACAGTTGCTGATTGATCTAAATTTATTTATTACGTTATAAAAGAAGAAGATTAACCTTGGAGTTAGACCCAAGAATAGAAATATTGATAAAAACTTTTAAGGATTGTTAAGTTTATATATACATTTACGTTAATTATTATATTAATAAACTAAAGAGTTTCATTACGTCGCGCGCCGTATAGTATTTTTATTTGTTTATCTGTTTTACTCAGTTATTGTCTATAACAAATGTTCTTCCATTTTTTTTAAGGTGCAACAAAGATAGGAGAAAATCATCTACGAGTTCAAGAAGCAAATTAAGTTCAGCCGGTGATAGTGTGGAGCCGGATCTGTGCACGAGTCCGAAATTGCAATCACCACCACACACCATCGAGCCATTAAAACAAATATTACAGGAACAAGACGGAACAGGCGATCTATCTGATGACGATCAGATGGTTATATGCGAGGATCCCGGAACTGAAATCGACCTCAAATGCAAAGAAAAAGTTACCGACTCCGATTCTGAATCTCAAAGTGATATGGACTCCTCCATAGAGAATCGCATGTTCCAACGTTTTAGTCCCGTAACAAACACGAATTGTTCTGAAATTACGTGTCGTCCCAAGCCAATTAAAGCCAGAATACCATCTACAGAAGCACCAAAGTATAATCTCGCCACAACTCCAACTTTCCACTATTCTCCTGTGAATCCGACGGGTGTTTCTGGTTTCCAACCATCAGTAGGGGGAGCTTTCAAGACCATGCCAGCGTCGCCGAAAGTGGTTAAAAACGATGTTAAGAGTGATAGTAATGATACTTATGACAACTGGTCAGGTACATTGGTTAATAAATCAAATGATGTATCATTACGAGCCAATTCATCCACCATACAAACTAGCACAATCACAAGCAAAACTAACTCTACATTAGCTATACTAAAACCACAGATCAAACCAAATATTATTCAGCTAAATGACAGCATTAACCACAATTATCAATCACAACCTTTAACGGTTGTCATTGGTGGACAGCCTACCATTTGTTTGTCCAATGAATCTGAACGGTCACAACCTTTTGTTGTTGTAGCTTCCACAGCTGCCTCCGATATTCCCGTTCAAGTGTACATGCAACCTTCCTTCAGCATTCCCGTAACCGACAACGGTAGGAGCGTATCGTTGCAGAGCCTGCATTTGTTACCCAAGCCGAATCATGCTCAATCTGTCATTGTCACACAGGCTCATAATAAGGTTTGCGTTTCATCCCAAGCTGAGTACCATGCAGCGCAGAATACAGTTGTTACGTCATCCAACAAACCTAATCTAACATACTCAAACAACTCTGGTAAGAATTTAATATTATTCGAGTAATAATTTAATAATATACAATAATATAAATGTCAACAAAGCTATTTAGGTTTGTTTCAATAGCTTTTCCAGATAGTTCTGCCGTGAATGTTGTTACTGGGTTGTTAAGATAATATTGGTTCTTTTCCTAGTTTACCAATCATCAAATTTGCAACATTCAGTTAAGCAGAACCGGCGTTTGTGTTGTGTCCGCCCCTGACTTTTTCCTATTGGAATTTTTTTTGGCACAAATAACGATTAAAGCCCTTAGTGCATATAGCCTAAAATCAGCGTGACTTCTGGAATTTTTCATCTCCATCTGAAGCTGCCAGAGTACTTTTGACGCAGTATCAAGATTTAGTGAAGTAAACTACTTTAAATAATTTGGCGCCCGACTATGGACGCCATTAGTAAGCGTATTTTATCAAGGGTCAATGAAAAACTCCCCATCTCTTATATGACAAGATAGAAGAAAATTACATATTCTAGGCAAAATTGAAATTTCATTGGCATTGAGTTACGCTAGCTAGCGGTCGTAATACGATTCTCCAAATAATTTCAAGGTTTTTTTTTTGTGGCCACTTATTGAAATTTTTTTCCAGAAACTACTGTAAACGATTCCCGAGATAAAGCCGACTATTATTATTGGGTCACCCAGTACCTTTTGTAGGTAATGTAGTCTGGTTGTAAACTGGACATCTATAACAATAAATAAAAATTAAAGTATAATTGGAAATTAGGTAATATGTAGGTGGTATATTGTAGTTGGAGATCTATGTGGTTAGTTATTTTTGAGTGTGCAGTGGTGCCTTTATTGGTACATGGCTAGCTATGAGTCCCATTATTATTTCCAACTGGTTCCTATTTATACAGAGTACTTCTTTTTGAACATGGCCCATCTATGAAGGTTTCCCCTAAGCCTGTTTTGCAACATTTGCCCAGTAATTCAGGTTTAGGTGGTGTATATCGGCTTTCCGTATTTTTTCTGGCCCTCTTTATTCAATTTCGTCAGTTTTTATTGCCTTGAGGAATGTTTACCCTATTTTTCGATATGGCAGTGTTCTCAGTTCTTCAATGCAGTTTCATACCAGTCGCGACTTTACTTCCTCACTCGATAAGCCTGGATAAAGTCTCCATCATATGGAATTTTTTTAGTTAACACAAATTTAATGTTCATGAACAGATTTTGCTTGGAAAATAATAAAAAAATGTAAACAATTTTTTTCTGCCGCTCAGCTATACCTGCCAAATTTGATATTTAAAAAAAGGTTTTTCATATTCGTTCAAATTTGGTAGGTTGGTAGCAAATCGAAAGAGAAACAACAATTTGTGAGAAATGGATGATACTTATGTATAAGGAATGTTCCATAAATGTTTCTAAATTAAACCGTGCCTTACAAAATCAGATGAGTCATGTTCATGATAACTATGCACGGCTCAGAATTAAATCCAAACTGACACTTCAAGAAAATAAGAACTGGGAATATTTCCAATCTCTACTTTATAAACATTTTTTGGGGATCACTCCATATATACCTGGTTTGTCCATTATTAAACAAAAAAGTGTATATAGAAGTTTTTATTTTGCACTTTCAGCTCCTGTATTACATATTCCAGAGAACAAAGATATCAAAGAAGATATCAAATCTCCGTCAGTATTAGATATGCTGCCATCCACGTCTGATTCCATAGTATTGGAGCAACCAAGCCAAGAATTCAAATTGGCTCCTACACCTGCGCAGCTTGGCAAAGCTCCTCTGCAACGAAGACAATCCATGGGTAAGTTTGAATCAGTGTCTGCTTTAAATATTTACATTTGGCTCGTTTGGCCTTAAAACCGTTCAATGGTGCGGTAAACAAGATCTCTATATGTATTTATTAGGATTCAATGTATTGTGCGTTTTTAAATGTTGTGTTGCTTTTTTTTTGACAAACGTTATTTTTGTTTCTTTTTCCCAAGAGTTTACGTCTATAAACAAAATTATTTGTTTGCATCAACATTTTTTATTAAAATTATGACTGTGGCGTTGACATTGGAAGCTACATATTCTAAAAATAAGATTTTAATTAGTTTATTTAGAATTTGTATTACATTGTTTTTTGGGACAATTGCATTAATAAATTAAAAGTTAAAATTACGTTAATACAGTCATATACTATCCACTGTGACTAATTTAGGCCAAAAGTCCTTTTATTTAATTCTATAATTGGATTAACATTCACCACCTAATTCACAAATGACCTCTAAACTTACTTGTAAATAGCAGATGGAAATAACCCATCTGCAGACTATTGTTTAAAAATATAAGTAAGTCGGTTTTGTTTTCATGTTTTTCAGAAAAATATTAACGAATATTTAATTTTTTATTGATTTGGAGAAACGTTGCCTCATTTATTTAAATTTTACTAATCACAGTAACGGTTCACAGTGTGTTTTAAAAATAACGATATCGCCCACCGTTACCTTTTTTCTGAATTGACGTTGATATTTCTATCTTTAAAGATTTGCAGATAGATAATATTAAAAAATACTTTGTTAATACAGATGTAAGTGTGGCAAAATGTAACCCCTGAATGTTATAATTTTTAAAGAACCTTTGAACTAATTCAGGGCATCTTAGGCCACTGGTGGCGTAAACGTGCTGATCCACCTGTGACTCTGCACGTTGACTAATGTAACTGGTTACGCCGTCAAAAATTTTTGCAGAGCTGCCACCTCGGCAACCGGTCAGACCACATCTTCTGATATCGACAGAAGTGCGTTATTTTACACGTAGACTAAGCCACCAGCGTTGCACGTTCAACAACAGTACTTTCATGCTTCCTACCATGTCAGTTATTTAGTTAATTTGCGTCTCGAAACATGGAAGGAGATAATAAATAGTGAGATAAAAATCTCGAATATACAAATTATGAAACACATTTGAACAGTAAAGAACAAGATCAGCAATTGAAGGAAGTTCACTGAATGTGTAAATCAGCTTAAACAAATTCCAAATTTTTCGGCAACGAACTAAGCATTTATTTTGGAGAATGGTCAAATTCGGCTTATGAGTTTAATATATGTATACAACACTAACGAAGTTAGAATTTTAAATAATTTATGTCCAAAATTGGTTATGACAGATGCTCAATATGACCCCCATTTTGTTGGTGTGAGATTACCAACCTTTCCTACAAATTGGATACATGATTTGATACTTCTATTTTGCCAATATTAGTCTTAATTTTACTGTTACTATAAAAAATGTTGATGTAAAAAATATGCCATAATTTTGTCAAATAGTACATAACAAATTTTAATAAGATTACATACCTACATAATTATTACTTATTATAGTTAAATCTCAAACATTTTGAACTAAATGTAAAACTTTTTGGACTATATGAAAAATCAAAGTGGTGGAAAATACGAGACAAAAATCTGATTTTAATGCCTAAAATAATGATAAATGGAATATTTATATATGGTTATATGAATGCATGTAATAAAGGACAGTATAAAAATTAACACGTATACGGGGCGAGCCAAAAAGTTGGTTCAGTGACTGTGGCTATTATACAATGTATCCTGTATATCGTAATGTGTCTCAATCAAGTTCAACAAAAAATATATACTTCATACATCACATACAGAGTAAAAAGTTAACTAAAGTTGAAATATACAAAAATTGCCATTTGTTACAAAACTTCCTGTAGAGACAAACAGTTGATTTTCACAACTTAATCCATGTTCTATAACCTACAATAAATTTCAACCATAATACTATCACTTAAGGGGGGGGGTGGGTAAGGTTAATTCGTGCAAAAAAGGCACATTTTTGTGAATTTTTTTTTGACGACATAGTTAAAATCTGTTTATTTAAAACTAATGGTACATTAAAGTATAACATTCAAAGAATATTGTGTCAAATTTTCATGTAAAAATAGTAAAAAAATACGGAAATGGCAGCAATTATTCAGAAGCGTTTCAGAAAAAAGTAGAATTGCGGTGCCCCTCCTAACTCGGTGCTGAATCATCAGAAATAAAAAAATAAAAGTTATCTCGTTAGGTAATCGTTTTCCCCAGGTAAAGCTGGGAGGGTTTTTCGAAATTTAAATTTTTCACTTTTTGGGAACACCTTGAAGTAAAAAACGCGATACTTGCGAAAAAATAGGCTAATTTATTATAAAATAAAAAAATAATAACAAAATTGAAAAGAAACTCTCCAGCGTTACTTCGTAAATTATGTTCAGAAATAGTGTTCAAAATTTCAAAGGGATAGGTGCAGTTGTTTAGAAGTTATGAGGGGCACCAACTTTGGGAACGTGAGTTGTGGGAAAAACGCTTTAAAGTTTTGAACACTAAAAAAATTGGAATAAAACGTTCATAAGCGAGTTTTATCGGCTTATCTCATACTGAATCATCGATGCCAGGTACATAAAGGATGTTGCTATCATTCATGATGTCTAAAGGATCTTTTTGCTCCTGTCTACAACGAATCCTTATTCATGAGCGCTTGATCTACTACTGATTCCTATTGTCTTGAATGTAGGTTAGTAAAGCAAAAGAACATGCCAGGCCAATGCTACACTAAATTATATACAGTACAGGTATAAACACGTTCGTACTTGTGTTAAAATTTCTGAAGAAAGGTAAGGTTAGGGATTATATAGAGAGCGAAACAGCTGCCAGGCAAGGGCGGCTCCGAGACGAATTTTCGGTGCGGGCCATTGCCTTTAGCCATTCTCTTTTTAGCATATTTTTTAGAATAAAAGGCTCATACATCGTAAGAATTTTCATCTCGAGGGGGGCCATGGCCCCCATAGCCCCCCTCCCTGAAGCCGCCCTTGCTGCAAGGTAACAATAGCGCGCTCGGGCCGGGCAGGGATTTTCTGATGCGCTGAGTCATGTATGAGGCGTGGTTACTCAAACCCCTGTATCTTCGTTAGTTTTGCACCGATTCATCTCGAATTTTAACAGAATATTCTTGAAAGGCTCTCCATTTACAAAATCAAATATAAAAAATGCAAAAAAAAAGTTTAAAAACTTTACTCCCCCCTTAACAATCGCGAGACAAATGTCAGTGTACATTTTTAAATGTGTAATCACAAACTATTACTTCGCTAATTTACAACTATAATAACATTAGATTTTTGTCTCGAATTTTCCACAACTATGCTTTCCATCACTAGACATGTAGTTCAGGATTACATTAATAATAATTTGCTTTAACACTATTTGTTAAAAATGTGTTGCTGTCTTCCGATCTATTATAGTATTTCTAGTCAGTAATTGGCGAAAAAAAAAAAAGAACTAAAAAACAGGAAAAAATGCAAAGCTCCTAAACTGAACCGCAGAGAGATCAAGAAATTGGCTACGTTTTATAACTGTTACAAATTGAGTGTTTAACATACTTATTTAAGTTCGTATATGATTTTTCAGCGTGTACCATCTGAAAAAGTCTGTAAATGAGTTTTCAGATATCTACAAAATTTGTGATTTGGGGGGTTTAAAGAACATCAAGATTCCTGTATTTTCATTTCACTTTGGCTGATTTGACCGTTTTGCCAATAATAATGGTAACTTTGGTTTTTTTACTATAACAAAATTTAAAAATATAATAAATGAAATCTTAAGTATGACATATCTTAAAGTAGGATTGAAAAGTAAAATTAAAATGAAACAGTATACATGATGTTGCATTGATAATATGGCAACAATGCACCAAAAAGGAATCTGCATGTCCTTAAACCTCCACATCCCAAATTTTGTATTTTTGAGAAACCAGTTTAACTAAAATTGGCGTTTCTAGTCCTTTCTTCATTCTGTATATTGTCTAGACCACTTTTCAATCACGGATTTGTTTTTAGTTATTAAAATTATTTCGATATGTCTAGGTTAAGTTTTACTTTTTAAATTATTACTCGAATATCGAATTAAAAAATTTACGATTTTATTAAGAATTTTAGACATTTTTCAAAAAATATGTTCCGTCCGTGGAAAGATAATAATTCCAATTAAAAATTTAAATAGATGAGTCTGGGTGTGATAGTGATTTTTCTAAGAGATTGACATTTCGAATTTTCTCCTATACTATACAAAAGAACAGCTATTTAAAGTATTTATAAAGTATTATAATATCCTAAAAGGTACGTTACAGACGATATCGCTAAAGAAATAGGAAATGGCGTTTTAAAGTTACTGCCTTATTTTTGAGTTTTCAATCATAGTGAATTGATTTGGGCCTAACTAAAAAGGAGGATACGTCGAAAAAACGTAAATTCAAAATTAGATGTTGAGATAATACGAGTAGAACTGAAATAGCAAATATTCCAGCAGTTAATTGGCAAAAGAAAAAAAATTGTTAAATATGAAGGGAAGTACAATACTGAATACTACTTCTCATCGTCTTTCAGTGTTTTGTTTAAAATCTATTTCAGATAAGGTTGGAACCAGGAGTTTAGCGTCCCTCAAATTATGTTATATTGAACTTTTTTTTTTTAATGTTCAAAACTGTACCAGTCAAATTTTTAAATCGTAACATTTCGCTAAGATTAGGTTTTTCTTTGTCTCCAATACTTAGGTTAGGTTTAAAATGAGTGGGATGATCTTCGCCTTCCACTGCGACCCAGACGGGTCTATTGTGGCTCATGACTAACTTATAGTTCAGCGTACAAGTTACACCTTTTGATGAAATTCATGGTTGAATTGGGTGAGACTTGTTTAAAGTCGGTAGGCTCCAGTCGGGTAAATCCGAAGATCTGGAACCTGGTTCTTTCCAGAGCGGAGCAGGTAC